CAAGACTGAGCAATCTTATATATATATATATATATATAAATTTCTCCTCCCCGTCTCAGCCGCCGGCAGCCCGGCACCCAACAAGCAACCAAGACCCCTTCTCGCGTGTGCGCTGGCTCAAGTCCCGACTCGAGGAGGCCGACGCCGTGCCCCTCGCACGCTCAGGTCCAGTCTCCGTCGTTCGCCTAGCCCCGCTCGGGCAGCGCGGCTCGAGGAGACCGACGTCGTGCGTGCCTGCCCCTCGCTCCGTTCTAGTCTCTCCAGCCTCCGCCCTTCGCCCAGCACGGCTCGAGGCAACCAAGGAAGCTCTACCGTGAAGAAGAAAGCTCCAAGCCTGCGCGAATTTTTCCATCGCTTCACTGTGATGATCCAGGAAACGATGGCGAAATTCACTCCACAAAATGATGCGCATATGGCAGTGATGTGTTTTACAGGAAGTGCCTGCCATCTGATTTGAGGGTAAGTGGAGGAACATGAAGAAGTGAGCTGGCTACTAATGCTGGCAATCTTACATATATGTAGCAGTTGATATTAAATTACTAACCATACTTTCGTCTGTTTGAGTTCATCTGCAAATCCGATGCCGCGCACATGGAACACTGATGAGGTACTAGAGCATAGCGGAACACTGATGTGGTAGTAGTACACAGTGAACACGGATGAGGTACTGGAATATAGCATAACACTGATGTGGTAGTATAGTACATAGTGAATGTGCTAACTCCTCACTGCCAAGGAGGAATGGAGGGTTTCTTCTAACTAGGATATTGATGCTTGGTAAGAGCCATATATGTAGCATGAAGCATCTGTCAAAATTCTCTGCTGTATAATATAATGAAGGGACTGTATACATATCTGTTGACAGATTTCAGCTGCCCAAATCTGTCACTTTTTTGACCAATCACAGTGTTACAAAAACTGACAGATAACTACATAAAAAAATCTGTCAAATATGTTAACGGGTCTACAACACCAAATCTGTCATTTTTTGACAAATGAACAGCTAGCACTGCTCATTGTGTTAACGGGTCTACAGCACCAAATATGCTGGCATTGCTCAGGCTGGGCGCCCCAGTGAACCGGCTGCCACTCTGTGCGTTGGTGTTCACTCGTGCTGCTGTCCGTGAAGCGGAAGGGCCTGCCCAGTCCAAGCCTTTGCATCTCTGAAAAATGTTCAGAAGCAAAAGCAACATGAGAAACACCATTCACCATTGTGAAAAAAGCAGACTGGACAAGGTAAAAAAAGGTACTCGCCGCTGCTGGCTGTTCCAGCCGATGGAACCGTGAGCGACGGTGTCGGACTCGGACAGACCTGCCATGGCAACTGGCGCGGGCGCAGGTTGCCGGCCTTGCATCAATGGCATGTCGGCCGCGCTGCTACTGGCCACCGTGCTTTGCTGCTGCTGCATGGCCAAGTGGCGCCTCGAGTACATCAGCGGCAGGCCGGCGGCCAGCCGAGCTTCTGGACCTTGAGGAAGTACTTCTGGGCATGGCTCCGTACTGCAGCACACATTCAGCCTATTCGCTGATTGGTTTTTGGGCTGATAAGCCCGGCTGGTGCTGGTTTGTTGTGAGAGGAAAATATTGTACCATGACTGATAAGCCCTGGCTGAAACCAATAAGCGAACAGGCTGCTTGTGTTCAGAGTTAGAGTTTCAGTTATTGGACAAGTACAAGTAAGCACACATACACACACAAATGTAATCTTTTTCATTGGATCAACAAGCAGCACTTGGGAAAATCAAGTCCCTCGCTGAAGGTTACAAATGACTAGGAAGAGTACATGTTTGTACCAGCATCACCTTCATTTTACCTGAAATCCTCCTCCCTGTGGGAGTAATAGTAAAAGTAGTAAGTTAGTAACATGGCCACCCATCAGGCAAGGTCCCATTCATCTGCCAGACCAGACCAAACCATACACCTCAATATACCAACCTCTCATTGCCAATCAATCAACCGACTTGTCACAAAAACCTTCACAAAGGCACTATCTATATCACTGAAAATATGCAAACCAAAATTCAGCACTGCATAGGAACTACTTGGAAACATTAAAAAACAAGGCACACTACTCTATGACAACACTTAGTGCAAAGTGCAGAGAGAACATACGATTCCAAATGCACGATTGCTTAGATATATATACAATGAATGTTCTATGCCAAGGACATGTTGCTGTTACATGGACACGGCTAAGAAATTGGATGCCTTCTGGATGCTGTAATAGTATACTACATAGCGGTTGAGAAAGTTACCTCATGCTGTAATCTCTGGATCCTCTGTGCTTGTTCTCTGATGCAAACAAGGTTGTTCTTGATCTCACCACATATCCTTTCTTCCAGTAGTCTCACTGGAACCCAGAGCTTGGGCTCCAGCTCAACCAGGTAAGACAGTGTCGTCTGGAATTCCTGCTCCTCTGAATTTCCCCCACCTTCGAGAATGCTACCATCACCCTACAAAATAGATATAAGAATTTACTGAGCATATTAAAAATAAAAGATAAAGGAATCCATTTTCCAGGTAAATCACTGAGATTATAGCTCACCATAATTTTGTTAAAAAAGGCTTGGAGTATTCTCATCAGATGGGAGAGTGCTAGAAAGAGGAGCATAAAGAATAACACCACAGCTCCAGAAATCAACTTCAAGACCAACATATAGTTTACCTGAAAAACTAAAATCACCATTACAACTCAGGACATTACAGCTAAAAAATAAAAACAACTCAACTAAATTCACCATTAAAAGTCTGAAAAATACAGCTTAAAAAAATCAACTCAACTACACCTTGTATTGCTCCCTCACACATCAATAACTGGTCAGAGAAGAGACAAGCAGAGATTTACCAATCTTCTTACATATATAGATGACAAAAAAATTACAGACCATAAGCCACAAGACCATCATGCAGTACCCCAAAACAAAACATCATGCAGTACTCCAATCAGTTATCTCTACATGCAACTCAGTAAAAACAACACATACACCCACACACACAAAAACACAAAGACACACACAGAGACATACACCCACCCACACACAAATTTAGGGTCATCAACCAAACAGGCCCTAAGTTAATATTGTAGCAGATGGCAATATGTAAACTTATCAGAAGGATTAGTTCGTTTGGAGAGAAGCAGACAGGTTCTGGCCTTCAGGGCGTGAATTACCAGCTAGGAATACGATTCAGCCGGCATGTGGCTGATTATGCCTAATATCTGTTAGGTTGTCACCAAGGTTTCATATCCCAGTCGACGACGATGGAATACTGGCAATTCCATCCGAAGAAGAATCGAGAATGAGAGAAGAGCGCGAGAGGTAGGAGAAGAAGAGGGAGGGCAGGTATGCGCCAGTGACTCAAAAGAGTGCCGTCCTCGGCAGAGAAAGGGGTACTTTGTTTTTCTTGGTGGTAGGATAATGTTCATTGTTCAGTGATTATTTATGGTGCAGAGATGTGACGTACGCATGCTTGTTCATGTTAGCATGCCATCCAAGCAAAAATCCTTTCTAAGACTGCAGAGATCCGTTTAGACGAGCTTACGATGATACTTAAGTCTTATAGTTTATCCATTATCCATGAGACTTAGGAAGATTACAAAAAAAATCCCATTAATATTAATTGGACTTAGATGACAATACAAGGAAACTTTAACCCGGTTTCCGCCTTTGCCAAAGTGATTGTAAGTTGGTAGAATTTGAGTCACCCTATAATATTACTACTCGTTCATTTCCTATGTAATGTTTTGATGCTAGGATTGAATGTTCCAGCCATGATGTGAGTGCTATTGACATTCGCATGATAGTGTCCCTCCTAGTGAGTACCTTACAAAATAAATAAGTAAGGGACGTGCTATACTTCATGCGCCTAAAAACGCCATCACTTCCAGGCGACAATTCTGAGCCGTCCGATGCCCATTCAATGGCTCATGCCTTTTCTTCTTCCTCCAGTGATGCACTGTTCATCTTACTCCTCTCGCCATGGTGTCCGCACCGGTCCGCTCTTCGCCCCCGCCACGCCCACTGCCCCGTCGTGGTGCGCTAGGGTTTCGCCCGCGGCATGGAGCTCCGGCAAAACCCTAGCACACCCGCTGCAGCCACCTTCTTCTCCTCCCCCTCCTTCCGCGGCCAGCTCCGGCCATGGAGCTCCCCCGCCCCAACTTGGCTTGCCTGCCTCCACCGCTGCCAGGGCCCCTAAACCGACTCTGTCGCCGTCCCCACCACCTGGCCGGCCTTCCTCCCCCCCCCCGAGCCCCCTTCTATGTCCGTCGGAGATGGAGAAGAAGAGAGGGAGAGTTGGAGAGAGAGAGAGGGCGCTGAACTAACCCGACACCGGCGAGGTCTCGCCGGAACCCTAACCACAAGCGCGGGCACCGGTCGAGGGCGTGGGCATGGGCGCCGTCACCTAAACATCTCCTGTCGACTGAGACGTAGGAAGTGTGAATAAATAAAGGTTTTTCACATAAGCCTCTTGTTTTGTTTCCCACCTCTTGGTACATCGACTGCATGCTAGTAGCGATCCAATATCACATTTCAATTTTTTCCTTGCTCCTACATCATGAACGTGTTCCTGTACAATCTGACAATGCCAACATTTTATACATCGAACTGGTGGGTTGCATGCTCCGGTTTGGTTCTTTTATTGTATCATCTGACACCGAGTATTACGCTATTTTGCAGTTAAATTTTCAAATTGAGGTGCAAGATAGATGCCAAAAATCGACAGACATCTGACTGCCTTCAACTATACCTGGAACCTAATTCAAGCGAGTGCAGTGGTGGATCCAGGACAAAAAAATGACCTATGGCGGACTTTGGACTGCTAGTTTTTGTTCGCGAAGCGACTGTATAAAATATAAAAGATAATACCATGAAAAAATAACGATATACTTATATATATCCATAAACCATGTCACAATCTCATAATTGATGTTTTAAACTATAAAAGATGAAACCAAATTGCATATTCTAGTGATGGGGAATGAACATACCAATTGAAGAACACTAATTATGTCGTGGAGGACATGGCAAATTCATTCTCCGCCTTTTGATGGCTTGAAACCGCTTCATAATCACTTCATCATCAAGTCCTTTAAATATCTCACGCTCGGCATAGCATATCATCAAATCATTGAGCCAATCATCAGCTATCTTGTTACACAAATCGGTCTTAATAATATTCATAACTGAGAAGACTCTTTCGACAGATGCCGTTGCCACTGGAAGGAGCAAAGTGAGCTCAATAAGGCAATAAACCAAGGTAAACATCATATGTCTTTCAGTTTCCACCATCTTCATTGCTAAACTACCAAGATCAGTGCAACCACAAAAATCAGGAAGTCTCCTAACATGATGGATAAAGAGTTGTAGTTCATCCCTTATAAATCCGCGATCACTAATGGAGAAGTCAGCGTCATAGATATCTGTAAGTCGAGCTAACTTTTCGACATCAAACTTTGAGAAAGATTTCCTTTGGTCTAGGCAAGAAAAACTAACAAGTAAATCTGTAGAGACCTCGTTGAAGCAGTGATCCATCTCGGTGTTTATAGCATCTAATGCAGCATAGAATGTATCAACATGGTAATGATGATCTTCAGTAACCATTATCCCTTTTTCTTGCCTTGATTGGCCCCATCTTGGCCTTGGTGCTTCCATATTTGGTACCACAATTTTCTTTGAATCAAAAAAGGTTTGAACTTCAGCAAATAATTCCTCCCAACCATTATTCCTCAATTCAATCAATCTTGCTTTCACATCAATAAGCAAAGACATGGCTTGAACAATATTCTGATCTTTCTTTTGCAAAAGAAGTGAAAGCTCATTTGTAACACGGAAAAGTTTCAGCATCAGTTTCATAATGAACACAAAATTAAAACTCTCCATTGTGTGTACCAAACCTCCAGCACTATTTGCATAGCACTTCTCTTCATTCACAGAGACCAACACTGGTATAATAGCATCCCACATTGATTCAATACGAAGCAATGTGGTATAATGTGAGCCCCATCTAGTGTCTCTAGGTCTAACCAAAGTAGTATCTTGATGCTTGCCACTCCCTGAAAAAATGTCACCACTACTCAATGCAGCCAATATATTATTGTATCATTTGACAACGCCAACATTTTATACTTCGAATTGGTGGGTTGCATGCTCCGGTTTGGTTCTTTTATTGTATCATCTGACACCGAGTATTACGTTATTTTGCAGTTAAATTATCAAATTGAGGTGCAAGATAGATGCCAAAAATCAACAGACAACTGACTGCCTTCAACTATACCTGGAACCTAATTCAAGCAAGTGCAAGTGCATTCAATGTGTTGGCCCGATTGGATCTCAGATTTAGATCTAGAACTACCAGAGGGCAGCTTGGCCCTTGGCCGCATGGATTGAATGGAAATGCAATGGCCTGTTTTTTATGATGACACTCCCTTACCTTTTATAGGCAAAGGGGACTCTCACTTGCTACAGCATATTCTAACCACTAAAATGGATACTGAGCATATTCCTAACACTAGACTTAGAAGCTAAAAAAAGTAAAAAGTGTAGAAAAAGTAAGATACAAGTACTTTAGCACTAGGCTTATCTATCAATCTCCCCCTAAGCCTTGTGCCGAGCACTGGTGGTGATCTGCTGCAGCCCAATCCTCTCCCTCATCTCCTGGAACTTGGACTTCCCCAGCGACTTGGTGAGAATGTCAGCTAGCTAATCAGTAGTGGCAATGTGGCTGGCCTTGATGCTCCCGTCCTCCAAGCAATCTCTGATGAAATGGTACTTGATGCGGATGTGCTTGCTTCTTTCATGGAAGACAGGGTTCTTGGCCAGAGCTAGAGCGGACTTGCTATCCACCTTCAGCTCAACCACATCCACCTTCTTGCCAAGGAGCTCTGCCAGCATCCTTGACAGCCACAGCGCATATGTTGCGGCAGTGGTAGTGGCGATGTACTCCGCTTCACAGCTTGAGAGGGCCACCACCTTCTGCTTGAGGGACCGCCAGCTGATCAAGCAATCACCGAGGAAGAACATCGTCTCGGCTGTGCTCTTGCTGGTATCCACATCGCCGGTGAGGTCGCTGTCGCAGTAGCTGACGAACTGCGCTATGTCGGAGGCCCTTCCGTAGCGAAGACCGTAGTCGAGGGTGCCTGCCACGTAGCGCAGGATTCGCTTGACGGTCTGCAGATGCTCCATCGTCGGCCGCTCCATGAACCGGCTCATGTACCCGACGGCGAACGCGATGTCCGGCCGGGTATGGACTAGGTAGCGCAAGCTCCCGATCAGCCGCTGATAATGGGTTGGATCAACCTCCTCGCCGTGCTCTCCCGACTCAGCTTGAGCTTCTCCTCCATTGGTGTGTGGGCCGGATTGCAGCCTGTCATGCCATCGAGCTCGAGGATGCGCTTGGCGTAGTGGGTTTGGCGGAGGGCGATCCCGGTGGCGTCCTGGCGTAGTTCGACGCCGAGGTAGAAGCAGAGGAGGCCGAGGTCGCTCATGTCGAACGCCTTCTTCATTTGCGCCTTGAACCTCTCCACCTTCTGCTCTTCAGCGCCGGTGATGATGAGGTCGTCGACGTAAACACCGACCAGTAGAACGTTGCGTCTGCTGCCCTGTCGGCACACCGCCGCCTCATGCGCGCTCTGCTTGAAGCCCATCTTCTTGAATGTGGCATCGAGCTTCGCGTTCTAGGCGCGCGGTGCCTGACGTAGGCCATAGAGTGCCTTGCGCAGGCGGTACACCTTCCCCTCTTCTCCGACGACGGCGTAGCCAGGTGGCTGGCGCACGTAGACCTCCTCCTTGAGGTCGCCGTTGAGGAAGGCAGACTCCACGTCCATGTGGTGGACTTGCCACCCCTTTTGAGCCGCCAGCGCGAGGACACGGACTGACTCCATGCACGCCACGGGGGCGAAGGCGTCGTCGTAGTCGATCCCCTTCTGCTGAACGAAGCCGCGCACCACTAGCTGCGCCTTGTGCTTGATCATCGCGCCCAGCTCATCCTTCTTAAGCTTGAACACCCACTTCAGGGTGATAGGGCGGTGGCCGTCAGGCAGTGGCACCAGCTCCTAGGTGCGGTTCTGCTCGACGGACTTGAGCTCTTGCTACATCGCCGCCCGCCACGTCGGATCACCCTGCGCCTCAGCATAAGTGGTCAGCTCACCGGCGTGCTTCAGATGAAGCTGGACGAAGAGCCTCTCAGGCTGGTCCGGTGAAGACTGGTCGCCGAGGATGCTTGCCACCGTGTGGTATCACAGAGGCTCATCATCATAGTAGGCGTCCAGGTGGTCTTCATCGTCCTCCAATGGCGTGGCATACTCGACCTCCGTCTGTCCTGCGTGCGCTGGTGTCGCAGCGGGCGAGGTAGAAGACGCCAAGGTCGGCTAGTACGCTGGAGAGATCGGCTGCGATGATGTAGAGGTCGGAGAGGCCAGCTGCGGTGCTGGAGAGGTCGGAGCTGCTACCGGTGGACTGCCGACCACCGTCGATGGGCTGCCGAGCTCCCCCGGATTTAGTGATGGCGAACAAGGCGGAGTTGGTGAAGAAGTCGGTGCTGGTGATGAAGACCCATACGTCGATGAAGATGCACTTTGTGCTTCCTCAGCACCTCCAGCTCACGCGTACTCGACGGTGAAGTCATGAAGCGCGGTCGCCGACCCGTCATCCACCGCCTTGTCCCATGCCCAGCTGCGTCCTTCATCGAACACGACGTCACGTGCCACGCGCACGCACCGTGTCGTCGGGTCAAGCACGCGGTAGGCCTTAGCCACCTCTACGTAGCCGATGAAGACCCCCAACGAGCTGCGATCGTTGAGCTTGCCGACGTGGTTCAGCTCCTTGATGAAGGCGAGGCAGCCGAAGATGCGCAGATAGCTGACCACCGGCTTGCGCCCGTGCCAGGCCTCATACGGCGTCTTGTCGTCGAGCGCACTGGTCGGAGAGCGGTTGAGCAAGTGTACGGCGGTCATCACGGCCTCTCCCCAGTAGACCGCCGGCATGCCGCTCTGTTTGAGAAGTGCACGCGCCGCTGCCACCACCATCTGATTGCGGTGCTTGACCACGCCGTTCTGCTGTGGTGAGTTGGGCACGGAGTAGTGGCGCTGAATCCCCTCGTCGGCGCAGTACGCCGCGAACTCAGCTGCTGTGAATTCACCACCGTTGTTCGTGCGGAGCACCCGGAGCTTGCGGCCGCACTCCATCTCCACGGCTGCCTGGTGGCGCTTGATGGCGTCCGCAGCTGCCACCTTGGAATCGAGCAGCACGGCCCACATATAGCGGATGGCGTCGTCGACGAGCAGTAGGAAGTAGCTCCGACCTCCAGGGGTGGCCGACATTGGACCGCAGAGGTCGCCGTGCACCAGCTCGAGCTGCTCGATGGCACGGTAGGAGGCTTGACGCGGGAAGGGCCGGCGCTTCAGCTTGGTCACCACACAGGTGTCGCAGAGCTGGTCGATGCAGGGCATGCCGTGGACCATCTCTTTGCCGAGCTGCCTCAGGGCTTCGAAGTGAAGGTGCCCGAAACGCTCGTGCCAGCGCCACGCCTCATCATCCTAGCGCGCGGCAAGGCAGAGGGGGTGTGCCACCTGTACATGAAGCACATAAAGGCGGTTGCTTCCCCGGTTCACCTTGGCGAGAAGACGGATGCCTCTATCCTAGATGCGCAACACGCCGTCCTCAATCTCCACCCGCGAGCTGTTCTCGTCCAGCTGCCCGACACTGATGATGGAGTTCTTTAAGGCCGGGATGTAGTACACCCCGATGAGAAGACGGTGCTTCCCCGTCTTGGCCTTGAAGATGACCGAGACAACGTCCTTGATCTCGATGGCAGAGGCGTCACCGAACTTGACGGAGCCCTTCACGCCGGAGTCTAGGTCGGAGAAGAACTCGCGCCAACCCGTCATGTGGTGCGTCGCACTTGTCGAGGTACCAGCCATCAATCTTGTCATCGGCGGCACCTTTGCCGAGGAAGGCGTGGGCGCGCGGTTCGTCAAGGTGGAGCTCGGCGGAGCTAGCCGACTCGGAAAGGGGAAAGCTTGGGCCTTTCACCCCCTCCCTTGCGTCTTGCTGCAGCTCGACGCACCCATGCGCCAGAAACAGGGTGGCATCCTGCTCCACTGCTTGCGCGACGTGAGCCTGCCCACCGTGGTGTGGAGGAAGGCGGCAGTCCTTGGCCCAGTGGCCAGTCCTGCCATAGTTGTTGCAGGTGTCATCTCGGGTCGCCTTGCGCTCGCCGGCGGCGCCGCCATCAGCGCCGACCTGGCCCCGGGGTCCCTTCTCCTTTTTCTTGTTGTCGCGTGGACGCCGGCGACGCTCCTTGGAGCCGGATGAACCGGATCCTTCCTCCTTCTTCTTGTCGAAGGCGCGCCACTGCTCTATCATGTACAGCAGCTTGCCTCCCGGTGACGTCTTGCACCGTCTTGAGCCTCTCGGTGACGTCCTCGACGGTGAGCTGCTCGAAGTCGAGGAGCGTCTCGATCGAATTGACGATCTGCGCATACCTCTTCGGCATGCAGCGGAGGAATTTCTCCACCGCGCGCTCCTCCGTGAGGTTGGTGTCGCCGTTGCGCGCCATCTGCTCCATCAGATTAGTAAGACGAAGGGCAAAGTCCTCCACTTGCTCACCAGGCTGAAATGCGAGGCCTTCCCACTCCCCTCGGAGGCACTGTAACGTCGTCCGGTGCACACGATATCCGCCGATGCGTGCCGCGGCGATCAATTCCCACGGCAGCTTTGCTGTAGCCTTGTTGGCGAGGGAGGCGCCGAGTTCGGTGGGGACGGTGGCGCACAACGCCTCCAGCGCCCGGCGATCGTCGTCGTAGTCAACGCCGCCGACGTGAACCGCCTCCCACAGCCGCCGGGCCTGCAGCTTGACCTTCATCAGCAGGCTCCACTCGTGGTAGTTCGACTTGGTGAGCATCGGCCACGGCGTTTCCGCCCGAGTCGTCGATGAGACCGTCTGCAAAGACCGGAGAGTGACCATACCACCACGCCGCCGCTCGGTGGCAAACCATCGGTGGCGGCGCCCGACCGGGCTACACGATCCTCCAGCTAGCTCCGGCTCCCGCTCCATCTTCAATAGCAGTAGTCATACACGGGCCACTGCCATCTGCCGTCTCGCCGCCGCCATGCCAGCCACATGTAAGCCGCCTACTGGCGAAAAAAGGCACGTCGCGCGCGATCGCTCTCTGGCACCATGGCGGCGCGCGCACTCTCGCGACCTGGCTAGGGTTGGACATGGCGCTCGCTCACTCAATAACCCTCTCGGCTCTGATATCAGATTGTTGACCCGATTGGATCTCAGATTCAGATCTGAAACTAACAGAGGACAGCTTGGCCCTTGGCCGCTTGGATTGAATGCAAATGCAATGGCCTGTTTTTTACAATGACACTCCCTTACCTTTTATAGGCAAAGGGGACTCCCACTTGCTACAGCATATTCTAACCATTAAAGTAGATGCTGAGCATATTCCTAATATTAGACTTGGAAGCCAAGAAAAGTAAAAAGTAAAGGAAAAATAAGATATAAGTGCTTTAGCACTAGGCTTTTCTGTAGCACTGCAGGGGGAGTTGATTAGAGCATTTAGCCAATATAATCGTAACGAGATCAACGGTGGCATGTCAACAGGAATAACTCACAGTCAAAACTAAAAGGCATATTCAATCATGCCTTACAACTTATTGAAAATTTCAGCTAACTTTGTCATCATTGAGCACAATGCCCTGGTCCATACTCCATACATTGTCATAAATGAAAATGCAAATACACTTGGTGATGCTAATATATTAATTACAACTCAGGACGCAAAAGGAAAAGCGTGATAGAGAACTGCATAGCTCCAAGTCGTACCAACTGATGCATTTCATCCGCGGGTGCCACAGTGCATATATATAGAGAGAGTAAACAAACAGACTCAGACAAGGTTTTCTTTATCAGATCCGATCGGACATCATGAACCACATATTAAGAAATATCCACATCATGAATGTGTGCAATCTTGCCCCAATCAGGGCCTACGTTCTTTTTGTAGCGTTCCTTGAGCTCAGTGTGGCAATTGTTGACGCGTAGATTACTCAGAGATGCAGGCATATCTGGAAGCATCTGAATCAGATTTGCATTGGATATCTGCAATGACTGCAGGGAGGTCAGACTTGCAATCTCTTGTGGTAAACGTTGCAAATGGGAAGCATCACGCACTACTATCTCTTCTAGGGCTTGACAGTTGCGCATAAGCCATTCCCCAGGTAAAAGTCTTAGTTCAGGACCGCCAGAAATCCGGAGCCTCTTCACAATGGCCATGCTCCTTAATGGCTCTTTGAGTAAGAGAGATGGGTGGTCAATATCAAGCTCGCTGATCTCCAAGGCACAACCGGATAGATCAGCACCTCCCTGATAAGTCAGGCGAATCTTGAACAAGGCTGTCACAACCAATGATTACCAAGAATGTGAGCGAGCCGAGCCCTTGAATTCCATCCAGTGACAGTAGCTCTTTGCAATCCCAGATGTCTAGATTTTCAAGATTTGTCAGTCTTGCAAAGTCTTGCGCGGAGGGGAGGGATGTCATTGCACAGTCGCTAAACACCACAGAAGTTATCCCTGTCAAACACGTAAAAACTTCGGAAGGGAATAATGACATTGCACACCCATCTAAAAACAATCGTGTCAGTGATCTGAGATCTTGCAATGAATAAATGAGTGGAGTTTCAGCATCACCACACGATCCCAAAGTGAAATATCTCACCGTTGGGGGCAACCTGATGTGTCCTGTCTTCAAATTTGGACACTTCACTATATCAAAGGTCTTAAGAACAGAAGTTGAACAAAATGAGTCCTCTGGTAGACATGACAGGCTCGCACATTGTTGGATTGACAATTCCTCGAGAACAGGAAGAGAGTAGCCCTGCCACAAAGTTGCCAGATCTGGGCAGCAAGAAATTATTAGCTTTGAAAGAGACAGATCCGGCCTCGGCGATGAAGAGGAACTTGCACCTAAACATGGTGGCAGTGGTATAGCTTGTAGACCAGCATTATGGATTTCAATATGTCGAATGCCGATAGGTACATTTGGTAGCTGTCTTAACTCCTTACAGTCACGCACCACAAGTGTGTCGAGCTGGGGAAATAAGTTCTCACCCTCGGATCCAACCCATTCAGTGCATATAGGCATGTCTCCGATCTCTAATGCCTTAAGGGATTGCAAGCCATAAGGTTTCTCGCTTCCATAAAATGAAGAATCCACGCAGTCGATGGATTTCATGTTAATTATGTAGAGATACTGGAGAGAAGGCAGCTGCCCAATAGGTGGAAGACGCTGCAACCTACTACAATCACATATATAAAGATATGTCAAATTAATGAGTTCGCGATTTTCCAGCCAACATGGAGACCGAGAACCTGGATATTCTTGAATCTTCAGTTTGCAGGTGTTGGGGTGTGGTTCAAGCTTGTCAAGAAGCTGCTCAGCTTTGCTGGGGTCACAAGAATCAGAACAGCCTGGGGACCAGCTAAGTGTTAATGCAGATAGATTATCTTTCTTGTCCAACAAGACCTCAGCAGCTTCGTATACACTCTTTACTTTGTCAAGACCTGAAATGTGTAAATGGGAGATGCCCTTCAGATTCTTGAGTTCACCAATTGTGTAACCACTTCGCTGTTGGATGCTGAAACCATATAGCTCATGGAGAGAAGTCAGCTTTCCAACATAAGGAATTAGAGGCATTATGCCATAAGATAACTGCAAATGGCGCAAATTAACTAGATTGCATATTCCCTCCATTTCTCCTTTTATGGGAACTGCAAGCTGGGGATCATTAAACTTCAGTATCTGTAGGTGGTATAATCTGTATACAGATTGGGGGAACCAGCAGAAACGTGTCATTTTATTACGACCCCACATGAGAGACAAGTAGCGAAGGTGCACTAGACCACCAAATTCATCAGGCAGCTTCAACGTAGAATTTGTGGTTAGGGACAAGACCCGCAAGCTTTTTGTGACGGCCAGTACTTTCTGAAGCATTAGTTCTTGCGCTGCCTGGTCTTGGCTCTTGAAAATGCATGACAAGGGTGCGCAATTTCTTTGCTTGAGAGACTTGCTCAACCAGACTAGGATTTATAGTTTCAGTGCATATATGCCTAACAGTCTTTGGAACCATTTCAGAAAATTTGCTGTCAATTCTAATGCATTCCTTTACTGAAGCAGAACAAGCCAACTCATGCAAAAGATCATGAATAACGTATAGTTCTTCATAGTATTCATCAAATATATTACATGTTATAGCACGACTAGATCGAGGCCTTGATTTAACTTCAAAAAAAGATTTCCTGGTTAATGCATCCAGATACTCCATCCCGATAACCTCTGGTGTCTTGTTACCCATTAACTCCATCCCAACCTCTGGTGTCTTATTACTCATTAACTGTTGGATCAATCCTGAACCCATCCATAAGTGGACCAATTCTTCCTTTGTAAACTCATAATCTTTGCCAAGTAAGCTGCAGTACCTGAAACATGCCTGCAAATGAGTTGGTAGATGCTGATAACTCAATCTCAACACTGCCATGATCCCTTCCTTACCCTGTTCGATATTATAAATACTCGATGTCAACATTCTGTTCCAAGTGCTACTGTCCCTTTTGCTGTTCAACAATCCACCAAGAACTTTTGCTGCCAATGGAGAACCACTGAGATTTCCCACCATTTTCTTGCTAATCTGCTGCAGATTTCTGTAATCATCAGGATTAACGCCAGAAAATGCATGCATGTTCAGTAGATCACGAAGGTCAGCTTCTCCTAGTCCACTCATTTTCAAAGACTGGCATTCTTCCTGCATTGCTCTTGCAGCAAGATCAGCTACCGACTGCATGCGAGTTGTCAGCAATATCTTACTCCCTCTCTTCCCATATCTCAATGGTCGTACAAAATTTTCCCAATAATCTATTCTGTCATCATTCCACACATCATCCAGCACAAGGAGAAAGGTTTTGGAACTCAATTTCTCCTTGAGCTCATTGTGAAGAGCATTTAGACCAACAATGTTTATTTGATGTCTAGTTACATCTTGAAGAATCTTTCTTGTTAATGTCTCAACATCAAAGTAATAAGAAGCGCAAGCCCAGATGATCAAATCGAAATAATCTTTCACCCTGTCATCATTGCATATAACTTGAGCCAGTGTTGTCTTCCCCAGTCCACCAATCCCAACTATAGAAAATATAGGGATATTGCTGACAACCCGTTCAGATGCACCGCTTCCAGCCTTGGTCAACCAGTGAACAATAGTCTCCCTCTCCTTCTCTCTGCCAAGTACCAGGCTTTGAGGCAGTGAGCTTGTTTCACGCCAGTTCCTGAAATCCACATCTTGTTTATGCTTCTTCAACTTATTGTTATCAAACTGATTGAGAACAGGGAGAAAACGCTGCACATCAGCAACAGCCTCATCTAAAGTCTTGACAGCACTCGTCAACCTCTTCAGAGATCCAGTGTTGAACGTGTGATTAAACTTCTGCACAAGCTTGCCTTTGTACTTATGCAGAGAACCAGTCACCTTGCTCTCTCGCGATTTCACCTCTTCCTCAAGCTTGTTATACTCCAACTCATCAAGGGCGTCCTCAGCTTCCTCGACGGCATCCCGGAGCTGCCACAACCAAGCATCTAGCGCCTCACTTTGATCTCTGATCTGCTCTGTGTCGACGGCGTCAAAGACTACTTGGATCTGAGGGAGTAGTTTCTCTAACCTTGTTTGGGTACTCTTCAAACCTCCAGCTTTCTTGTTATCCTTGAGGTGGTCAAAGGCCTTGGTAATGATATAGGAGATGGTTGATATCGCAATAGCTTTTCCTGCAAAAGCTGCAGCAACAGCAGCCATGGCTGGGTTCTGGAAAGTGGAAAGCTTCAACTCGAGAGGAGCTTCCAACAGTATGCAGGAAACATGCTTAGCTCTTGTAAATGCATATCCTGGTTAGGGACTAGTGGACAGCATTGATTTGCAGTAATAGCCATCTACTTGGCACATGGTTTATTTGTCTATTGTATTCGCGACTAGACCCTTGGAAATTAGCAAGCAGGGCTGCTTGACTTGGTTTCCTTCGCTAATTATTCCACTAGTGGCTTACTGATGGATCATGACTGTTTAACCGAAGCCGTCTGAGTCTTGTCGCTATGAGAGTAGTGCTAGAGTATAACATTAGTACTACTAGAACAAACCCTCCATTTACCATCTTCCTGGATGCTAATTATATGAAACCTAGAGATCGAGGACTAAATAGAAAAACGACACGCCACAGACAAGTATCTTATATCTTACAGAGATGATAACCTGAGAGTGACATTGGACATACCAGATCAGTGAGCGGTAGCAACCGACGGGGGATGATGCTTGGCGTCTAGGCTGTCGGTGGGCCAGCCAGTGCCCAGGCAGCAGTCGGCAGAAGCTAGAGGATGCTCCAATTTGACATACACCTGATGCAATGCCATGGATCATGGATGCTCTCTTCGGCATTTCGTCGACCACCTGGTGGTTGTGGGCGACTACGCATCCAGCCCAGAGGAGCCAGGAGCCAGGAGCAACGGCATGTAATGTAGATGTAGGTGAATTCTCTTGAAGATCGATCTTCACCGCAACTGCCCGGCTCCATGGCAAATCTCTGTATAATCTTCATTAACACTCTCCGCAATAGCTGAATTGGTGTTGTATCGTTTGTTGATTCTAGCTCGTGCTCGGCTCCACAAAAGGCGGGAGGTGCGCGGCGAGCGTTGCGGGTGCTGCGTCGCGTGGCAGAGAAGGCGGATGAGCCCGGCCATGCAACGATCCGGGCATTGCAATTTGCAACTGCGGTCTGCGGGTGCGGGGAACTGCGAACATAAGTGTCCAGACTGCAGAGGTTGAAATGAAAGTGCAATGTAAAGGTGTAAACATCCACCCAGGAAAGCCTTACAGACTCAACACACATTACTCCAGAACTACAGAAAGCCTTACAGACTCGACACACATTACTCCAGACTCAACACGCAGCGCTGGAGACTCCCGAAAGCTGAACACTGGATCGTCCCAACTCTGAAGTATCCATTCTCCAAGCAATCTGCGGCAGGCTGTTGGCCTTGCTCTCCAGCTGCAAGATGACGTTCTCCAGTCTCTCCTTTGCTTCCTGTTGTATCATCGGCAGCCAATTCTTAGTAGCACCTTCCTCATTCCACTCCAACATTCTCCCTGAAAACAAACAGCATTCCGTAATTTCCAAAAAGACCACAACACCGCAGTTCACTGCCTGTTTACAACAGCCCAATACCAAACATACAACCGCAAGCAAAGCAATCAACACATTGTGCTGAAATCAACCCCAATTATTGTGGCCACTGGTCAGACTTGGAGGAAGTAGAACTTGCCAACCAACCAATTCCCATAATACACTACTCAGGTCTAACCACTGCAGATGACAGATCACGACAAAATGACGTTATATAAACCCCAATTATTGTGGTCACTGGTCAGACTTGGAGCAAGTAGAACTTGCCAACCAACCAATTCCCATATACAGTACTCAGGTCTAACCATTGCAGATCACGACAAAACGACACTATATACAGAGGGCTCCAACAAATCAACTCGCATTGCATCTCCAAGGAAGAACTATTGTCTGCATAACCGAGCTCAAGGCACGATCTGGTAGTTCAGCGCATTGTCCCAAACCATTTGGACCGCAGACTCCAGCATCTCCTTCACAGAGTTCTCCAATGGATCACCTTCTTCCTGGGAAATTAACAAAACGCGTTATCAGGGTGCAATCTGATTCGATGTAAAATGGGATTGTGATGGCACCAACTGCACTACCAATTAGAAGAAATCACGATCGCCACAATACAGCTATGAGTACCCCTACTATGTTAACAAAAGGAGGAACCCCCCAAAAAAGAAAAACTGCAACCAGATTCACAACTTGTGTTTTCCTCACTCTCAAGTTATTTCAATACAGAAAATATTGCACAAGCAAAATCAGCATATAAAAACACAAATATGTAACCTAACAGTAAGTAGCTACAGAAGAGTAGAACGCAACAATCTTTCGGGTAGATTTCACTAACCTCCAGTTTGCGAGAAATAGCAGTTAGTTTGAACGTAACTTCATTGGAAACTTCCCCAGTCGAGCTCCGGTGATCGAATCTGTCAGCATGCCTTAGCTTGAGCCTCATGGTTTCATTTCTGAAAGCTTTGTAGTTCGTGTGCCACACCCCAACTATGCTGAACCTCTCACCGATTGACTCCTTTCCAAGTGGCCATCTAATCCCCCCTTTCACATTAGGATCGATAATAGCAGCAGACACCAAGCTCTTTACAGCATTTTTCACTTCATACTGCAGTTGACATCAAATAAGTCTACAATTTTTATTAAAAAAACATAATACAAGAAAGGAACAAGGTGTTCTCAATGAGTACTTACATCTAGGTTTTTCAGGATCCTTTTCTTACACAACATCAGCCTTAGATCAAGACCTTCGAAAAGACAGGATATGTCTTCCACCAAGTGCCGTACCTGATTCAATTCAACCTGCATAAAAGGCAGCACTCAGGAATTAGAATCTGGATTATGGTTTGAATAGCTGGTTGAATTAATTACATTTGAAGAACACAACAAGGCACATAGTATGTGGAGTACATCACATCCTATAATATAACTATCACCAGTTAATCCAGAAATTTACACATTTTTTCCATCTACCTACTGCAATACAATATAACATGCAGTAGCACTCATTGGGGGGGAATGAAGTACAATGACAAGCAACTACCTACTGCTTTCATTCTTTGCTATCTTTTTAAAATAAGGCTAATCAATAGATGCGGTCAGTAGAGTTCAAATTGTCCCTCCTGGTTTTGAATTAACAAAACAAAGAACAGCAGGAATCATATGAAGATAATTGATCTATGGCAATCCCAAATATTGGCAAGAGATGTGGAAAGTAGCATAAACTGTTTTCTCCAAATCTGAAAGTACAGCTAAATACATCGAATAATCAAATTATCCAGATATATAAAGTAATGCACGAGAATTTCTACTCAATGATATACAAGCTTGGACAAACACACAGCTCATCGAGGGGACATCAGCTAAACAAGTCAAGCAACAATAAGGAAGTTCGGAGATTTTCAGTGGTAAGAAGTAAACAGCCTATAACGATGTCTGAGGTAAACATGTTCATGTCTTTGCATCTCATAATGTGTCAGCTATCAAGTATTCCTACAGAACATGGCATTAAAAATTTAGAATAGCTGCAATCTTAGTTACGGGAAAGCATCATGATTTTGTGGACCAGATATTTATGTAATTAGAGGCGCCTAATCATAAAGTGCTAAAAGCCTAAAACTATTAAATATGTCTAATATCCTCAGAAATCACGACTTTGTGGAGACAGCTATTATATACTCCATCTGTTCCAAATTATAAGTCGCTTTGACTTTTTTGGTTCATCCATTTCTCTACGTATCTAGACATATTATTATATCTAGATGCACTAAAAAAGTCAAAGCGACCTATAATTTGGAACGGAGGGAGTACTAGACATCAATCGACAATTTTGATATTAGACAGCAATTTTGATATTAGACAAAAATGAAGACATGCTGCTGCCTCAAAGTGGATGAAGGAATCCGGTAGCTTAAATCGCTGTAACAAAACAAATAAAAAAAACTCGTGATGGGATGGTTAATGGTACACTAACCTTATGGATAGCAAGGCTACCATCTTCCTCCACGGTGCATTTGCAAGATATTGTAGAATCACTTTGATTCTTGTCAAAAACCTGTCACAAAATTGAAGACCCTTACTTATTTGAGCCCAACACAATTTGTAGTTCAGTTCACATGCACTGGAGCATTAGAAGACCAAACCTTCACATGGTAGTGCTCCTTGGACGAATCAAAATCCAGCCCCATCCTCTTCACCATGGATCGCTCCATATCATCCAGACACTCACTAGGCACATTGGTGTAGAACGATTTACGCAACTGGCTCTTGGAACCATCTTCCCCTGCTTCTGCTGCCTGGCGGAGTGTGTCCAGTGAGACGGGCGATCCACCGCTGAAGACATATAATTCGAACTCAGCATTCACCACAAGATCGCGCGAAGCATAGGTCCCAGAAATGTAACTGGGATGCAAAACAAGAAGAGGAGAAAGGACTCATGGCTGGCACTGGAAGAGCACCTTTCCCAGCCTTGCCACGAGACTTAGCTTCACCAACTCATCCTTAGGCGCGCCGTCCACCTTGGTCCTCTTCGCGGCGGCAAGGAGATCGGGAAGGAACCTCTCGGCGATGGTGGTGACCGCCAACGCAGTGGAGCCGGAGGAGCCTTGTCCTGGGGTGGAGGCGACGACGAGAGCAAGGGGAAGGGCTCGAGGCGGAGGGTGTGCTCCTCGTCGTCGCCGCCAGGAGAGAAGGGCGGTAGCGGGGACCAACGGGAGATGCAGCCGGCGGCGTGGATGATCTTTGTAGAAGCGCGCGGGTGGCGTCCGCCGGCGGCGCGGCCGCGGCCGCGCGGGGAGGAGAGGGAGAGGGAGCGGAGGGAGGAAGAGAGGGACGGAGGTGGCGGGTTGGGTGCGGGGGTGGACGTGGAGGCGGTGGTGCTGGGGTGCCGCTTGTGGGGAGGGAGGTACGCCATGGCCGCTGCCTGCCGGCGTGCGGTGCGGTGCGGGTGCGGCGTCCAAGAGGTTTTGGAGAAGGCGGGGGCCGCGGCCCGCGGGGACTAGGGGAAACTGATTTCTTTTTCTTCTTCTTTTTTTTGGTTTGGAATGCGAGCGGAAGAAGAAGGCTTCGTTGGGCAAAACTTTTGCCATTCATGCGTTTCCTGTGCATAGTATATAGTAAAAGATATCTCGGATTATAATGGTGTTGGCAGTATGTACACTTCCCTACCAAAAATTTGCATGGGATCCATCTCTGAATATACTCATAATAATATTACACTCCGTCTAAAAAGTCCCATTCCCACTTTCTGTGCCAAATCTAATTTTGTTTCATAGGCCATCAAAACTTATACCAAATGTTTATGTGCAATTGGATATAAATTGTTCACTTCAATGACACTATTTTAGCTGATTTGCTTACATTAAAGATAGGAAAGATAGGTGCAATGCCCGCGTGTTATAAGAAGATACGAACAGTTAACGTAAACATTTGGTATCGCAATAAGATTAGCTAAAGATAGGAATAAAGATGGGCCAAGACATTATTCGATAGTTAATCCATAAAAAAAAAAAGGTCACGAGCCATATAGGACTGACCTAAACTGTAAAATAGACCAATAGAGACAAAATCTATTGACCCAATGGATATAATAGATCAATCTTTATTTATTTATTGGTCTTCTATTTTTTTTCTGAATAAGCATGGTTGGAAGTTTTATTTTTCTGAATAAGCATGGTTGGAAGTAGATTAGGAAATATATCATATTTTGAAAATGAAAATAGATAAAATTAAAATAATGATTCACTTCCAAACTTATTTAATATGATGCAACAATAATAACCTTAATGTGTTATCATGGTACATTTAAATCTTGTATCTTATCATGGTAACACAATGGGTTAGAGAGTTCATAGCCTTTGGATGAAATGGCTCAGCTCATAGCCTCTGAAATTGACCTTGAGTCTACGAGGCCAGATCCAAGGCCAGGGACAGGTCGACCCATTTCCATCTTTACCGACAAGTACATTGTTGGTGTTGTATTATAGATGGTTACATGGAGTGCCATGTAATCATGAGACGATTGAGCAACCAATTCATATATGGGTTTTATTTTAAGTTGTCTTATAGTAATTTTAAGTTATCTTATAGTAATTTAATTCTCTTTATTTTATAAGTTGAATAACGACATTAAATTATACAACGGTGAAATAGTTGTCTCATAGTGCTAATGTTTGCTCATGAAGTGGTTGCTTTACAAAATTGCTATATCTTTTTCTCACCTTCCTCTCTTTCTTCTTCACGTCATATAAATTCCTACATGACTAATTAGCCTCAACGATGCAAGGTGATGGGATAAAATCGAGACCTAAAACATCAAGGAAGAGAAAAGCCATCGAAGGTCGGAGTTGAGTGGTCACTGGTGAGTGCTCACTTAGTCACTTGTCAGGATCGGCAACCATCCGTCCTTGCGGGGCCCGCTCCCGACGTTTTGGATGAATGAGTTAAGCCGCTACCGCCAGGATTGGAAATTTCTTCCTCCTGCCACCGTTTTCTAAGCCACGTCCCCGTCTTCTAGCGAGTGAAGTCTACAGTGACAGCAGCAGGGATGGACCGAATCCCCTAACCCACAGTCCTCGCTACGCTAGCTCTCACCTCACGCGCCTCACATTCCGGCCGGCACATTTCCTGCTCTCTCCGATGGGTGATACCGCTACTGCCGCCGCCACTCTCGGCCTCACCAGGCCCAACGCCGCCGTCGAATTGCCTCAGGTGCGCCTGTTTTTTTTGTTTTGTTTCTATATATAACTTGACTCAGGATCGGCCTGTTAATTCCTATCTATCTAGTGTTTTGATTTGGATCCCCGTGGAATGGATTCGATCATCTGCTTAGCACACCATCCAGTGTTACCGTCGTAAGCTCAACATGCGCTGTACTCCCTGTTGTTTCAGATTAGCTTTGCAGCCAAAGACATTGAATTCTCGGACTGGCATGGCGACATACTCGCGGTTGCCGTGACAGAGAAGGACGTGCAGCCGCCGCAAGCCTCGGACTCCAAGTCGTTCGAGAACGCCGTCCTGAAGAAGTTCGACGGCCAGCTCGGTGGCCTGCTGCGGGCCGCGGCGGCAGAGGAGGAGTTCACCGGCAAGCCTGGGCAGTCGGTGGTTCTCCGCGTGCAGGGGCAGCGGTTCAAGAGGGTGGCTCTCGTCGGTTTTGCGGCCCGCAGCGCCGGTTGCCTGCAGGGCCTAGGTGAATCCGTCGCGTCGCTTGCCAGGGCCGCTCAGGCTACCAGCGCCGCCATCCTTCTCGCCGCCCCCGCTGTGATCCGACAAGAGTTCAGGCTGAATACTGGCGCGGCAATTGCTTCTGGTACTGTATGTAGTTATTATTATATCAGTCCGGCTATGCTTTTTCTGTCTGTTCTGTTTGCCGGATTAATTCTTTTTCTGTCTGTTCTGTTTAATTTGAATTTGAATTTGAACTGTACGTATATTGCAGGAACTGTTCTTGAACTGTACGTATATTGCAGGAACTGTTCTTGGACTGTATGAGGACAGCAGATACAAGTCTGAAGGGAAAAAGGTGCATCTGAAACAGGTAGACCTAATTGGGCTGGGATCTGGTCCGGAGGTGGATCAGAAACTTCACCATGGTAACCATCTTTCATCGGGCGTCATGCTTGCGAGAGATCTTGTGAACTCTCCTGCAAATGTCCTGACACCGGGTCAGTACAGTACTGACTACTCAGTAGAGTTGGCCTCGATTTTCAGTAAACATTAGTAGGATAGTAGTGCATCCTTTGTTGTGGTAACTGGTAATATTTGCCGTACATATTGTCACAGTAGTCCTCATTCGTCCTTAATCATTCCAGCCGCTCTCGCGGAGGAGGCGGCGAAGATCGCTTCGACACACAGCGATGTCTTCACAGCCACAATATTAGATGCTGAGAAATGCAAAGAACTGAAGATGGGCTCCTACTTGGCAGTTGCAGCGGCTTCTGAAACAAACCCACCTTACTTTATCCACCTGTGTTACAAACCCATTGGTGGTAATGTCAAGAGAAAGCTGGCTCTTATTGGGAAGGGCATAACATTTGACAGGTTTATATATACTACTTTCAACACTGAATAATTGGTATTCTTTTTACTACTGGAATTCAGCAATGAATTAATGTCATGGTAGCTATATAAGTGATTTTTGAATGCTTGATTCACCTATGTCGTCTGTCTCCAGTGGTGGCTACAACATTAAGGCCGTACCAATCGCCACCATTGAGCTTATGAAGAAGGACATGGGAGGTGCGGCGGCTGTGTTTGGTGCAGCAAAAGTTTTGGGCCAGATCAAGCCTCCTGGAGTTGAGGTACTTCAGATTCAGTTACTTGCTAGCTAGTTCGAGTATTTAGCATTCACATTTTAGTGTATTTTCTGATGATCTCAATCCCTTGTAACTGACAGGTTCATTTCATATCTGCTGCGTCTGAAAATATGATTAGTGGCTCAGGCATGAGACCCGGTGACATCGTGACTGCTTCTAATGGGAAGACAATCGAGGTATATATATATATTTCTCTTGTAACAGTAACGCGTTTCAAAATTTCAGAATCCACGTGATCCATGAAGCATAGTACTATGGTAGTAGTGTGATGACTATATATCCTGCTTTGTAGTATTAATTTGTCTTCGTATATAAATATATGCTTCTTCAGGTAGATAACACGGATGCGGAGGGGAGGCTTACACTTGCTGACGCTTTGGTCTATGCTTGTAACCAAGGTGTTGACAAGGTAACGACTTACGCTTTGGTCTATGTCGGTTGCTAAATGTTTTCCTGATGCCATTACCTATATAAATTCCTCTTGCTCTAGCATCATGGACTTCTAGGCCAATAATTTGGAGAAACATGGTTTTCTCTGTTCCATTAGAACAGAAAATTTGTTCAGGTGATGATGAATTCATTCTTTATTTAGTGATTCAGCTGTGCCTGTCGGTTTGTGTAGGAATAAGATACTAAACTGCAGGTGATCAAGCTGAATTGATAATACAGAAGTAGATTTCAGTTTCATCACACTATTCTTTTGATTTATAATTTTATAGGCTGTTAATTTTCTGTCTGTTTTTGGAAGGCTCTGCAAGCATATAAACAACTGTATCTTGCGAGTGTCTTGCTTGATCTATTGACCATTGTAATCATGCTACGCAGATTATTGATCTGGCGACGTTAACAGGTGCCATTCGTGATGCACTTGGGCCTAGCATTGCTGGTAATATGACTAACCTTGACCGGTGCTCCACTCCTGGCCTCCGCTAATAAGTTTTACTAGCATCTAAAAAGATAACAATAAGTTTTGCGGCATCAGATTCTCTTTGATGCATGTTTTGCATATAGGAGTAGAATGTGACTGCTGATCCATCAGCTACTGAAGAACCAGCACGTCCAGAAGTCCGACGCAGCTCCCGTGCTCTCAAGCCCAACTCCAAGTGGTCCGATCAGGAATGGACCCGTTAAGTTGTAGCCCAGTAGAGGTGGCGAAGTAGGAGTCATACTCTGGCCGAAGTGCCGAACATATAGAGGGGAGTCCCTGCTGAGGCAATGAAGAATGAACCAAGTCTCTAATCTGAATCCTGTCCTCGTGAACTATCTTCTTCTTCCCCACGCCATATTCTTCCTGCTGTTCTTCCTTCCCCTTCCTCGCTACTGTTCACGTAGTAGGCAAAGGAAATTAACACCGCCTTCCATTCCATATATACACAGGGATTTTTACACCAAGTGATGAGCTAGCCGAGGAATTTGCGGCCGCCTATGAGGTCTCCGGAGAGAAGTTCTGGAGGCTGCCGATGGAGGAGAGCTACTGGGAGTCCATGGAGTCCAGCATCGCTGATATGCTCGCCGCCGGGCCTTTGCATCCCAAAGCCGGCGCTATCACTGCCGCATTGTTCCTGAAACACGTACGTACCTACAGCAACGATCTTTATTTTCTTATGGTTTATTTATTTGCTCGCACCCATATAAATTGGGTCAGTTGTTCGTAGAAACAATTGACTGATGTTCTGTTCTGCGTACGTGCTGCAGTTTGTTGATGAGAAGGTTCAGTGGATGCACATCGACATCGCCGGCACAGTCTGGAGCAACAAGAAGCGGGCGGGTACTGGCTTCGGAGTCACCACCTTGGTGGAGTGGGTTCTCAGCAACTCGTCATGCTGAACAAACCCTTCAATGGCCCTCTTTGGTTCAGCCTGGGAGTCTCGTTATAAGTTGAGCAGAATTATATAATAAATCACGATGTAAAAAATCTGCTGTCTAAATAAGTGGGGCGACCTGATTATTTTGGGTGGGACATTTTGCACTGGGAATCCTGAACATTTCTCAAACTATGTAGCACTATTTACTACTATTTCTGTGAGTCTATAGCCTTTCAACTAGACCCAAATAAGAGTTTCTATTTGTATCCTGGTCCTTCTTCAATCGACGCACGAGCTCGGAGGGAGCCGGCCTCTCGCCGGCTCGCGCGAAGGGGAGGGGCACTGCTGCCGGCAGCTCGCGCGGAGGGGAGGGGCGGCGCTCAAGTGGCTCGCGGGGGAGAGGGGCGCCGCTGCCGGCGGCGCGCCAGGTGACTCGAGCAGCGAAGGCCCGCCTGCGGCTCGCGCGGAGGGGAGGGGCGGCGCGCCGGGCATCTTGCGCGGAGGCGAGGCGCGGCTTGCGTGGAGGCGAGAGCACGGGAGAAAGGAGGGGTGCAGTAGGAAACGCGAGGACGTTTTCCAAATCGCGCCTTGGGCTCACGATTCGGCCAACACAGTGGGCGACCGTCCAACGCAGACGCGCGTTCGCGTTGAGCCCTCTGTCGCGAACCGTTTGGTGCGATTATTGGCTTGTGCGGGTCGCCAACGCGCTTATACGAGAAACCAAACAGGGCCAATAATTCAAACCCCCTCCGATCCTTTCTTCAAAAATTCGAATCGCCTCCCATCCTTTCTTCAAAGACAGGATCAAGCAAACAATGTAATATATATGGTGTTGAGTGTCTAGTCGAAAGTCGCAAGTCGTAAGCCCAAAGCGTTGCATGACACTGTGATAGAATAAGCAAAGAATTAATTAAACATCATCGGTGAACGGTGAATGCTGCCATGCATCGGCACAACTAGGCATTCTCAATACGGACAGACTAGCGCATCGACATCCGGCCCTAGGTCCGGAACCTAGGTCCGCGTCCCACACATGCTCCGTGCCGCACGCCCTGTCTACTCGGATTCCGCGCCGCTCAAATGACTCGCCCCACTCATACCGCCCGCACCTACGTGGGCCCATGCCGCCCAACATCACTAGCATTGAGAAGAGGAGACACCGAGGCGAGGCAGTAGAAGGTGAGGATGGAGATGCAACACCTGATCTACTTTTGAAATATTCAAATAAAAACATTTGCAACATACGTTCGAAACAGTAGAAACACTTGCAATATACTTCTGAAACACTTATAAAAACACCTGAAAAAATGCTTGAAAAGCCATTGTAAAATATATACAACATCCTGATAAAACACATGCAACATATGTGTAAAACGCATGTATTCAGATAAACAAACTTGCAACATACGTATGAAAAAACAGATGAAACATTTAGAACAGACGCTTGCAACATATGTGTATATCCATTGCAACATATGCAACATCCCAATCTAGTTTTGCAACATCCGTATAAAACACTTGCAACACATATCTGAAACATTTAAAACACTTAAAACATATGCTTGCAACACGCGCTTTCAAGCGCAACATCTACTTGTTATTTGGACGAAATAGAGGCTCTACGGCGTGTGGAGTTCATCAGAGGCAGCGGCCCCGCGGCGCTTGTAGGCGGCAGCTGAGTGACGCAATAGGGAGGCAGTGGCCGCACGACTAGGACAGGGGAGCTAGATCTGCCAGGGAGCCACTCGTGATGGCCCTGCCGTGCTGGTCTGCCTGTGACCGGAGCCGTCGGTGCTGTTGCGCCGCCATGTCTAGGGCCGCCGGGGCCTCCGCGTCGTGGCCCGCTCGTGATGAGGCCACACCGAGGCACTATGCGTGCCACACCAGGATGCTCACTCGCACCGCTAAGAGAGAGAGAGGGGGGGAGGAGAGCTAGAGGCACACGAGAGAGAGAAAAGTGGAGGCAGGGAGGAGCCGCCCGTGCTGAGATGCTCGGCCGCACTGGAGAGAGACTGAGAGAGGGAGGGAGGAGCGCTGGAGACACGTGAGAGAGAAGAAGCGGAGCCAGGGAGGCAAGCGATAGAGAGAGAGAGAGTGGTCGCTGATATTTTCCAGGTACGAACCAATGGACAAGCGGGCGGCGCGGGGTGAATCGGGGTACGGACTGACGGGCGCCTTGTAGGTGTCATTAAACACTAAGGTTTGTGAAAATAAATGATGTTAGCTTTGTAAATTTGCTATTCACTTCCTCCGTCTAAAAAAATACAATTATAGGATTTGGACAAGTTAAACTAGCATAATTTTGATCAAATTTATAGTGAATAGTATTATCATTTATGTCTGTGACTAGATTTACTAAAAAAACATATTTCATAATAATTTAATGGTACTTATTTTATATCATAAATATTAGTATTTTTATATAATTTTAGTCAAACTTTAGATCATTTGATTTTTAAAAAAATGATAATTGTATTCTTTTGTAGATATAGGGAGTATTAACTACGTAGTTTTGTGTTTTGTTAACTAGGTTTGTGTCCTTTTTATCAAAATATGAGTGTTTTTGTAAAGTTTCACTAGTGTAACCAGATTTTTTGCAATTACATAGTACAATGCAGATACTCACAACGCATGCACACTCACCTCTATAAACGCATGCATGTAAGCCTACAACTGTTAGCATCTTCGAAGACTGGGCTAAAAAATCTTCGAGATTGACGAAGTCACCGTAGACACCTCGCTGTCAACAAAAAGGTCACCTACCACTGAAAACACGACACCGTTAAATTCTAAAATATTTACTCCCGCGCTAAAGGCCCCTGGCCGGATGCATATCTGGCCTGTTTTGTCAAAAACACCTGAAGCAAGATATTGTACATGCATTTCGATTTTTTTTGACAGGCATCATGCGGTAAATGATACATCTATTGCGCTTATACCAAAGTATCACTTGTAGAGTCTCTGGAAGATTTCAGGTCGATTAGTCTATATAATGTCATATATAAAAAGTCACCTCAAGTTCCTCGTTAATGAAAGGGTCCCCTTGGGTTGGTCTTTTTAACCTTGCAGATGTTGATGCTATATCAAAAATAGGTCCCCATTGGAATGGAGGATTAGTCCTTGCGACAACATTTGGTTTATAGGAATAGATTTGGTTTATAGGAATAGGTCACAGTAAAACTAAGGGTTCTTTCGAACGTAAGAATTTCACAGGAATCAGTTTATTTTTCATAGAAAAACACAAAAGCATAATTTTTTTTGTATTCCAAAGGGGGCCTAAAGGAAAATTTCTTTTCCCCCTGATTCCATAGGAAAATCACATGAAAAAATCCACTTATACCTCAGTGATTTTTTTTGTGCACAAGGAACAAGGACAAGCAAGGGGTTAATAACTGCAGTTGGTGTCTAATGAAGAGATATATTGTATTATGGTGTCTAATCAAGAGGTATATTGTATTATGACAGGATACCTAGGTGGATAAAGAAGTAACATGAATTTGTTCTTAAAACTCCTTTAAAATTCCTTACTTTTTCTTGTACCGAGCCAAACTCATAATCATACATAATTCCTATGTTTTTTATTCCTTAGGATGGCATATATATTTCTACATTATTCTTATATTTTCTTATTTTTGTGTTTTCCCATTCCTGCATTCTAAAAGGGGCACCAAAACCTTTTCATCTTGACCGATAAAGCTGTTTTTTCAATCCAAAGCTGTTCGGCTGATGATTTTTGCTGCTGATAAACCGGCTGATGCTGAGTTGTTATGAGAGAAACATTATACCATGACTAATAAGCCGGGCTGATAAGTTCAACACGAATGAGCATCCAAGTAGAGATAGTAGGAAGATAATATGGAGTAATGTTTGAAGTGACAAATTCCACCCACGGTCAAGATCTTTGCGGATTTCGCTAGCAAATGAATTAGCACAACTAGGCAACTAACTAGACATAAAAAATGCCTACGCGTAATCTATCTTAAGGTAATTATATCAATGTCTAGTTAATAAAGTTCTCTTTTACTAAAGAAACATATGACAGTTTATATTAGTAACTATGCCTAATATTAAAGAGATTTTTTTTTCGATTCTCGCTCTCTTTCCATCCATCCGGTTTGTCATCTCTCACTCTTAAGATTTTTTTTGTTAGTGTCACATCACTCGTATCATGGTCTGACCGTCCGAGCTCATGCACATCGTTTTCCATTTTTGTTAAACTCCCAATAGATGCACATAAAAGTCACTCATTTAATTAAGTTGAGTCCGTCTTTTGTCAATCTCCCACAAAAGATTAATTGTTTATTGCATTAGCATTTATTATGAGCCTTGAAATTTATTTGATTTATAACACTAAACCTAATTAAATTCAACAAAAATAGCTAGCTCATTAATTTTGATACAAGCATCACTCAATAAATTGTAGGATTAAGTCCACTTTTGGCCCCTCAACTATTGTATTGGTCTAATTTTAACCATTAACTACAAAACCGTCTAGTACTGGTACCCTAACTGTCAAAACCGTTCACTTTTAGCACCTGAACGCGGATGAGGCTGTTTTTGTCCAATGTGGAGCGGTTTTGATACGCAACCTCCATCTCAATGACAGGTGGGGCCCACGCGTCATCGACTCAACCCCTCTCTCCGTCCTCACGTCCCTGTGCGTCCTCCGCGTCGGGTCCCGCCGCAGCGTCTCGTCCACGAGCAGCGCCGCCAGTGCCTCCGTGTCCGCCTTCTTGGTCGTTGTCCACCACAACGTCTCGTACTCGGCCACGACGTCCGCCGCTATGGCCTCCGCGGGCACCCACGACGGCTCGTGTCCGTCCTTCCACTCCACCAGGTACTCCGTGGCGACAATGGCGGTGGCGAAGCCGTCCTCCGCGAACACCGCTGCTGCGACGGTGCGGTATTTGGAGACGATGCGGTCCACCTCGCCATACGCCTCCTTGTCATCGCCTCCTCCTTGCTTTGGCTCCTTGGCCGGTCTCCGGAACAATGCGGCGGCGATGGCGATGCGGCGCCTGTGGCGAGAGGAGAGATGGGGGAGCAAGCGATGGCGATGGCGCTTGCTGTGGGTGGTGATGTGTTTGCTGTGCGGAGGCCGCTGGTCGCCGGTGAGGCGATGGGCCAACGACCAGCGCGGCTAGGCGGAAGCGCGGCCTGCGTGGGCGTGGAGGCGCGACTATCTCGGGCGCGAAGGCATGACTTGCGCGGCGTGGAGGCACAACCATTACGGCCGCGGAGGCACGACAACGGCGACTCGCGTGACGGCGGCCTTCGTCATGGCAAACGTGACGGCGGCGCGGCCTGCTGCCTGGGCGACGGCAGCGGCGTCCGGCTCGTTTCCTACGCGGCAGCGATGAACGCGGAAGGGTCATCGGAACCCCACTGCTATTTGTTGCTGCTGCTTTTGTTCACGGTGTAATTTGATGGCTTGTCCAGCTTCGTGCGGAAGCTGCCGGCGTCGCGGTGTAGCTTGGTGTTTGACTTGTCGCCCATGTGGTGGAGGATGGGGAAGAAAGCAGAGCGAAGATCCGCGCGTGAGGGTACCGTGGCGGCGGCGACCAGAGGTCGTCGCGCTCTGCCGCGCGCGCGCCGAAGCCGCTTCCTCATGGCCGTCCGCCACCGCCACGCTTCGCGCCGCGCGACGCTGCGCGGCGCTCGCGGACTCCATCGAGTCGGTCGCCGCGCTATTGCCGCCGCCTCCGCCTCCTCCGCCAGAGGCGGCCGAGTCGCCGCGGTGGTGGCGATCCGCGCTAGGCGGTGGTGGTGGCGCTGGCGCGAACCGTCGCCGCTCCTTCGACCCATAAATCGTCGGTATTTGGGATCCGAGCCGGCGTTGCGGCCGACTTCGCCGCAAGCGCCGCGTCCCTCGAAAGTACCGCAGCACCCACATTACGCCACAGACTGTTTCACGGTAGTCGCCTCGAGCGAGCGGGCCCACGTCCGCGAAAAGCAAGGCGACAACGCCGAAAGCGGTGCTGGCGGTGGCGCGAGTAGAGGCGGTGGCGCGCTCGAAAGACGACGCAGCGGCGGACGCGTGAGCTGGCAGCACGCGAAAGCAAAGCACAACTAGCCGGTTGCCGACGAGCCATGGCCGTGATGATGGAGAGGGAGGGATTGAGTCGATGACGCGTGGGCCCTACATGTCACTGAGATGGACGTTGTGTGTCAAAACCGCTCAACGTCGGTCAAAACAGCCTTGCCCCCATCCAGATACTAAAAGTGAATAGTTTTGATAGTTGAAGTACCGGTCCTAAACGATTTTATGGTTGAGAGTTAAAATTACACGGATATGGTAACGAGAAGGCAAAAGTAGACTTAATCCTAAATTGTATGTTCGTCGGTCCTTAAGGGTGGGTCCCGTACTCTCCGAATGTCTATCCATCATCGTGGCCTTCCGCCAGAAGCCACCCATCGCCATCGGAGCTGCCAAAGCAAGCAAACCGCAGGCAGGTACACCAAACGTGCCAAACCCTCCAACGCCATCCTCTACAAACGGCTCTCTCGCTGGCCCCCCGACTCCTCCCCATCGCCGCCCTCCGATCCGTCATGGCCGCTGCCACCGCCGCCGCCGCGCTCGCCTCCCCGGCGGCCATCCGCGCATCGCCGGTGCGTCGCGGCCTCGTCAGCTTCGCCCCTGCGCTCCACTCCGGCCCCGACCGCAGCTCCCGCGCCGTCGCCCTCCCCGGTACGGCGTGCGGACCTCACCTCTGGAGTGTTAGCAGTAGTTTGCTTTGATTTCGTGGGTTTTTAGGCTCCGCATCGTTGGGAAGCTGCTGGCGATTACTATTGAAAGGATTCCTCGGTATTTCAAGTTTCACCTAGGCAGTGTATTGGAATTTGAACAGTGGGTTCCTGCTCTTTCGAATGTGTGCTTCCTCGGCGTTCGTATACCATCGCTTTGTAACAACTTTGAGTGTAGATTTGGTATTACTTGTGTGAACAAGGCATATATGATGATGCCCTTGCCTGGTCGTTCATATTTCATAGGGAAACACGTTTGAACATGACATCATTTCAATTCCTTTTGTCAACAACTAAATTAATTAATATTTTTTCTGTTTTACTAAGTAATAAATTGTATTTACAGGTGTAAGAACTCATGTTGCGGCTGTTGATGAAGCCATTGTACAAGGTGAGACAAAGTTGGAAGGTCCTGTGGTTGTTGTTACTGGTGCTTCCAGGGGTATTGGGAAAGCCACTGCATTGGCTCTTGGAAAAGCAGGCTGCAAGGTTAGCAATTTAAGTAATCTGCTTATAGGTATATAGAAGTTTTATCGAATGTGTATGGTGCTTCTCTTCAACTCTGCACTAGTAAGCTGCAAGCTCAAGCCCACAATGGTCATTGCTAGAGCAAGCTGTTAGATTATCAGTTTAAATAGACCATTATGCATAATGGATAAATGGTTTTATCTTCAGAATTTTATGAAAGCTGTGATTAAACTGCAGGTCTTGGTGAATTATGCCCGATCTTCAAAGGAGGCTGAAGAAGTCTCAGAGGAGGTAAGCTTGAATTGTGGCAAGTGGCCTCTTAATAAATACTTTGGTTTCCTCTCTTTCTTCTTCTTGTTCGCTCCCCAAGCAATGCCTGAAAGACAGAGTTAAGCAGAGAAAACAGACTTAAAATGCAATGACAGGATGCGATGTTTAAATTAAATTTTGCCAGGCTGCCATCTACATTGAACGTATATTGTGACTGATAAATTAATTTCTCGTTAAGTTTCTTTCCAATCCACTCAAAGTTTTTGGACTTCTATTGAAATATTTACTGCTGCTTCCGGAAGTATCCTTTATGTTTCTCTTAGAGCAAATCATTCAAAAATTTCCATTAGGAAATAAATATATATGATATAGGATTGTTGATTATACTAGTGTGCAAACTTTAATATGGCAAAATAACCAATAGAGACCTCACTGCTTATTTTCTTTTCTCTTTTTGCATGGTAGGTTATCCGTAAATACATGTGTAGACGAGTTTGCTTGATGATCAATTATTACCCATGACTCAGAAAAAGACCCCACCAATATAGCGGTTGCATTCCACTAAACATTGTTGATCCTACTGTCATTCTAAAAGTTATCCTTAGTTGATCTTCCATGTCCAACACATTTAAGATGACAATGTCATGTCAGTAATTGTATTTTATCAGGGCAACTGTTATCCAATCTTTATGTCTCAGCATTCTCTCAACTATAAATAACATTCCACCTCTAACGTCAAGATACATACATACTGATGCATGTAGTTTATGAGTTTTTGTCAATTACCAAAATGGAAAGTTTCATTGGTGTGGGTCATGTTTCAATATGTACTTATATAATCAATGTTTCCCTTGGCCGTCAGCTAGCCCTGCCTAATCTCCAAATCAGTTTCTAGTTGCTGGTCTGGCATTAGGACTAGTGCCAGGTCCTAGGGGAACAATAAGGACTATGAATGAAACCTTTTTTTTAGATGTCACAATTCAAATATAGCCTGATATTCTTTGGTCGTTGACAAGAAAAATATATATAGCGGGCTTTCCCTTATCCGTTCACTTAGGTATCTGACTGTGTAGCGTAGTTCGCCGATTCCCGTGGTGCATACCTATACGTCAATAGCAAGGGAAGATGGAATGGAACCAGACTAATGTCATTTGATACGTCCTTTCGGGATAAATCAAATTGGTCAGTCAAACTCCATCAACCGCGAAAGCCGTTGCTTGTTTGGAAGCGCTCGTGCGACAATAGGCTATTGCTCGCTACAGATCAGCAGTGTATATACCTCTATTTCCCCATCGCACTGTAAAAATAGGATAGGTTCGATCTATGGTCATTGGGGGCCTCCCCCATCCATCACTGAATTCGATCATTCCTTGGATTCTTCCTCACTATCTCTCAAACTTAAAAAACTCCCCATCCCTTCCTTGTGCCCGCTCCTTTCTGTGGGTCAAGGAGTGGTGCGAAAGAGAATAAAAAAGTTCAATTGATCTTTTGCAAATGGTTTGATGAAAAGGTTCTCGTTCCCATGAATCTGGATCTGTCTCCTGGCATTGATAGCGATTGATCGAATTCAGAGTACGCGCGCTACAAAAGGCAGCTAGCCAATGAAAGTAAGTGGAAAGAATATAGTACTTTTGTACTGACCCCTCCGGGGCCCCCGGTTGTTTTGGCGCGCCCTATCCTTCGGCGATTGAGAATCTAATTTAAGAAAAGAAACTTGCTTGTGGGACTCCGAGCGATACCCTCAGAAACTCTCCTTTCCTGATCCTTTGCTTTACATCACCTTTACCGAAGTGGTGTGCTTAACAGCATCCTGTTCTTTATACTAATCTTAACATAGTCTTTGTACGTAAATAAGCAAAAATCCTCTACCAGTGAAATCTGAGAAATCTGGCACTACCTGGCAGCAGGGAAAGAGAGTATAGACATCAACTCATCGATGAAGCAGTTTCTGTTATGAGAGTAGAGAAGGATAAGATTCTCTCTGTCTATACCAGAGACGGGAACAAGCCTAAGGGCCCTTATTTCTTGAAAGCAGAAGGACAAAAAGAAAGAACCAGACGAAGCAATGGTTTATCCAAACTTTAACAAATAATGCAATATATTTCGTAATCTGTTTGTGAGAAAGCGTGAAAAGAGCCAATGTGAATTTAGGTTCAAACTAATTGAGTAGGGGGTTTGGGGGGTGATAAGGCGAATGAGCTGTACGTTAAATATCTCTTCTTTTCGAAGACCAACCCTTACTTTCCAATCTTGAAATGAAAATCAAAGAATTTCATGTGTGCGCGCGTGAGAGCCTTTTGTTTCAACTTTATTGCATGTGAGTGGAGACATCCATATTGAGGAGAAAGCTCACTCTGGCTACTGAACTTGTAAATACAGTTGTGAAGCAGCTCTTCTATTAAATTAAATTAAATTAAGTAAATAAGGAAATCCCCTTTCGAAAATGAGGCAGCTGCTAGTTAAAAAATGAAATTGGCTGATATCATGACAATATTAGGTAGTATAGATATCATTATGGGGGAAGTTGATCGTTGAAATGATAATAGATAGGGTAGAGGTAGAAACTATCAATTCTTTTTCGAAATCGGAATTATTAAAAGAAATCTACGGACTTATATGGATTCTACCCATTTTGGCCCTCCTACTGGGAATCACAATAGAAGTACTCGTAATTGTGTGGTTAGAAAGAGAAATATCCGCATCGATACAACAACGTATTGGTCCTGAATATGCTGGCCCCCTGGGACTGCTTCAAGCTATAGCAGATGGAACTAAACTACTTTTAAAAGAGGATATCCTCCCATCCCGAGGAGAGATTCCTTTATTTAGCATTGGTCCCTCTATAGCAGTCATATCCGTTTTATTAAGTTTTTTAGTTATCCCTTTGGGATATCGTTTTGTTTTAGCTGATCTTAGTATTGGTGTTTTTTTATGGATTGCGATTTCAAGTATTGCTCCTATTGGTCTTCTCATGGCAGGATATAGCTCAAATAATAAATATTCTTTTTCAGGCGGTCTACGAGCGGCTGCTCAATCTATTAGTTATGAAATACCATTAACTTAAACACACAGGAGATCTGCGTACCATCATATATTCATAAACTATAGATTGACATCTGTTGGTGTTTCGGGGGATTCTACTATTTGAACGGAGAACTCATTTCATGTTTTTTTTGGGAGCAATTTTTTTCAGTCTATTTTTGCACCAAACTATATCAAACTTAAACACATACTAATATTTCTATATTACAGATTGAAGCATCCGGAGGCCAGGCTATTACCTTTGGAGGAGATGTTTCCAAAGAGGCTGATGTTGAATCTATGATAAAAACGGTAGGTAAGTTGGGAGTGAATTTTTGAGTTACCAATTTGTTATTTCTTACATCAATTGTTCTCCTTTTCGATTCTGACAAATATACATGTGCAAATCGTGCACTTTCAGGCTGTTGATACATGGGGAACGATTGATGTACTAGTAAATAATGCAGGTACTGCCAAATCTATTTTTCGCTTTGCAACTACTCCCATTTGTTTCACTTCCAACAATTGGAACAAAAAACTGATAATAGGAATCACACGGGACACACTGTTGATGAGAATGAAGAAATCGCAGTGGCAAGATGTGATTGATTTGAATCTTACAGGTGTTTTCCTTTGCACGCAGGTATCCCCCCTCCCCCACCCCCCCTTCTTCCCCCATTTTGCTGCAACAGTTATTGTTTCCATCTCACATCAACATATACTTTGCAGGCTGCAACAAAAGTAATGATGAAGAAGAAAAAGGTTGGCAATGTTTTTCATTGTCAGACTGATGTTTTGTTTCTGTTTTTTGTTATTATGCATATATCTCACTTTGTATACCAGACTCTTATTTTCATACTGCAATGCAGGGAAGAATTATCAACATAGCATCGGTTGTTGGTCTAACTGGTAATGCTGGACAAGCTAATTACGCTGCTGCCAAGGCTGGGGTTATTGGGTTCACAAAAACAGTTGCTAGGGAGTATGCCAGCAGAAATATTAATGTGAGCACACCTTTTGATTCATCATCTCAAAGCTTTTATCCAGTTTTGCAGTTAGCGAACTATTTCTGAACTTCTCTATTTAGGCAAACGTTATTGCCCTGGCTTTATTGCATCAGATATGACTGCTGAACTTGGTGAAGAGCTAGAGAAGAAAATTCTGTCAGCTATTCCCTTAGGTATAGTATTACTTACACGTTTGCATCCTCAGCTGTAACCAAATATTCCTTAGTGCCTATTCAATGTGGTTTTCTTCATTCATTAATCTGTTCATTCCTTACTGCTTTTCGCTCCTTTTGGGCAATGTGCTGGTCTGTATTTTTTTTAATTGTTTCTTGTTATTACTAGTCAGTGCATGTGTGAAGTTCATGTTAACTGCCTTTGATTTGGTTTATGAAAATGTAGGGACATAGGCTGTGTCAGCCAAATTCTTGTTTTTATATTAATATTTCATAGTACAGATGATGACAATATAATTAATTAATACTAAATACTTTCAGTGTGGTTATTAGCTATTGACTGCGTGCATTCTTCATACATTGTACCATATTCAAGCATTAAGGATAGGAAACACACACACACACACACAAAAAAAAAAACTCTTTCGAAATATTGAACCTAGATCTCAAAGAATCCATTGTTGTTACTAGTAGGTGGAAGGTCCAAGTGTTCATGTCATACTGGGGTTTTTAAAACTTTTTAATAGGTTCGAGGTACAAGTGTACATGTCAGTGATACTGGACTTTCTAAAACATTTTGAATAGGTAGGCCCTTTTGGGATCAACGTGAATGCTGACTGGCTTGTTTTAGCCCTTAGATAAGCTAGGTTTCAAGCTGAGACTTCAGTTGAAGTTGGAGAGGGGAACAGACTTGTCCAAGTGTATCTATGAATGAATTTTATTTACCAGTGAGTTTAGAAAATTAGCATGTTGCAAGTCACTTTGATGATTTATTTACTATGTAGTTCACCAGCAACAGCAGATAAGTGACATGTATATAGAGAATAAGCTCACTAAATGTAGTTTGTTCTCTTTGAAAAGTAATTGAAAACACCCCATTCTTTGGGCTGGTGTGTATACACCGGATGGTTATTAAACACAGCTACAGATTCAAATATTGTGTGTCATGAACTCATGATGGAACTGAAGATTTCTGTCGCTGGATTCACTATATCACCTTCCAGTTATTTTAGAGTACATGCTGATTGTGAAAACAAGGTGACTGATTGGATTGACTCACTATATAGCATGTTCTATGAGTAAACATGATTACATGAGTGTTGGATAATGCAGTTTTGTGAATATAGGAAAAAATAGAGATGTTATCTCAATGCATCACTCTCCTGGAACTAATCGGTGTATACAAATTCCTAGGGCGATATGGTCGGCCAGAAGATGTAGCAGGTCTGGTGGAATTCCTAGCCCTCAGCCCTGCTGCAAGCTACATCACAGGACAGGTAGATGGTGTGCGATATGTTTTCTTGGTTCTTTAAACTTCTGAAGCGTTCTCACCGAGCTCCTTTGCCATGCAGGTCCTCACCATCGATGGAGGAATGGTAATGTAAGGCTTCAAATTTGTGCCTCTGCCTCTATCATGTGTCGCAGAAAAAAAATGTAATTCAGTTTTGAGGGCCATTTTTTAAGGGGTGATATCTTTTTGTGCACAGCGATTTGTGGTATCTAGTTCGATTCAAAGGTTGTTGTAAGAGATAACTGAAATTTACAGACGTATATTTATCTTTCTTTCTGAGCGATTGGCAAATTGATTCCAGGTTCCAGCTCCAGCCATGTTTTGGTCATTTGCATCTCTTATTGGCACGCTCTTTCCATAACTTTTCGGTCCCCTGCTCTTAGGAGACCTCTGCTTGGTTAAATCTTCTGTTTCTACATTTTTAATTTCGACGCGTGTTTATAGTTTTATGAAAACTAAAAGCCTGACGAGATTCACACTTCACGTGTGCAAGAATTGGGTTGGTTCTGAACAAAGTACGCTCGAAGTAAGATGGCTTCCAGATGAAATAAAGGTGTTTTTTTAGCAGGCTCATCGATATTAACCATGCAAGATACTTGTTTCTGTTTCCATTTAGTGCCACAACACTTAGAATGCATCAAACATGAGAGGCACCACGCAGGATGTGCGCAAGATTGTTTATACTAGGTTTGAACAGAATTTGAAGCAAGCAACAAACCCAATGCTCACGGAGCAAAGTCTGCTCCTCATCCACACATCCAGAGATATGACTACTTTTTCTAACTCAGCATGGCTCCTCATCCAGAGATATGACTGCTTTCGCAAAAAACATTACAGCACGAGTGCAATTGGGTCAAACAGTCACACAGATATAATGAACGTTAAACATTTAGTGATAAGATTGTAGACGAAGAGAAGTTGCCACCAAATATGAACGCCAATACAAATTGCCATTCAAACCAATCTAGGCATTTGTGGTAACTGAGGAAATACATCGTACTTTCGACCCACAGCAAATGTCCATACAAATCAAAACTTAAAACACTTACTAGGGAGAGAAACAACCGATGATATGCTCGGCACAGCATCTTACAGTTCTGACCTAGGCCTTGATAGCATACTTCCTCATGGGGAAGTACTTCTCACGCTTCTTTTCCCTCTCCGTCTTCAGAGAAAGCTGCAGGACAAACAGAAAAAAATGTCAGGCCATATATGATTAAAAAATCAACACAAAAGATCAATCACTCAGAGAAATGTCATGCAATTTCAGCTACAAAGAACAGATGGTGATGGATAACAGACTATCAATCAATCAATTGAAATTCCAGTATCACATTTTAAACACGTTATTGTTTCAATTGTCCCTTGCCCACGTGTCAAACATTCAGAAACTGATTAGATATCACCATTTTGTGCTGTCATAGCAATTGAATGATAACACAACTGGCTAGTGCTTGCAGACACCTGATAACCCTAAAACCTAAACCTGGGTTGCAAAATATTAGTGCTCTTTCAGACTTGAGCTCCACATGGAGAGGGTTATCAGGTATCTGCAAATGCTTAATATCATATATGAACAGATTGAATAAAAACCTTCATCAACCACAAACACTTCACCCTGATTTTGCACATCAAAGAGCACTAACACTATTCAGTTCATATATTCAGTCAACAAACATAACTCACTTTCTAAAGTTGCATTCATACACAAAATCTATTGGCTCATGGAGCTCAGAGGAATTTCAAAAGAAATCATCGGTTACTCAATTAATGATCCATCCAACAACCAACATAACATAACTTATATACCACTTATTGAAACGAGCCAATCAAATCAATGCAACAGATTATCAGGATATTTATTCCTATCAATTAGAAAGGATATAATAAAATGCTCTTGGAGTTGCACATCATGGAAGAAAGTCAAGAAACATAACATAACTTAGATACCACTTATTGTAAACAAGACAATCAAAGTGCCATTGGAATAATATATACTCAAGGTTAGTATCAAATGAAAGTTGTAACAGAAGATCAGTGTTTCAATTAAAACGACATCTAACATTATTGAAGAGCAAAGGCGTGCAATGACTAGGAGCGGCCGTGGTCGTAGGAGTATGGCGTGTATACCTGGTGCTTGGTCAGGCGGCGGCGGATGGCACGGGTCTTCTTGGGGCGGAGGTCGAGGGGGAGCAGCTTCTTCTTCTTGTACGCCTCCCGCAGCGCCGACTTCTGCTTCTGCGAGATCACCGTGAGCACGCGCGCGATCGAGGTGCGCACCACCTTGCTGAGGAACCACAGGGGACGGGTATAATTCGACTCGATTCAGTCCAGTTCACGAGCAGAGAATATCAGGAGAAAATAGAGATTGCAGGGTACGCACATCTTGGAGAGCTTGTTGGGTGCGCCGCCGGTGACCTTGGCTACGCGGAGGAGGGAGAGCTCAGACTTGAGCTCCTTGAGCTGCGCCTGCAGGTCCGTCTTGCTCTTCCCCCGGAGCTCGTGCACCTTGATACGGGCTGCCAGTCATCGCCACACAACAAAAGGGGTGTCAGATCGGCGCGAAGATAAGGAGGATAACTCCAACGATGGAATCCTGGTGGTGGCTTACCCATGGCGACGGTGGCAGTTGCGGCGGCTGCGGCGGTGGGGTGGGGAGGAGCGGTGCGCGAGGGGAAGAGGAAGGGTGGCGGCGGAGGAGGATTTATATAAGAGAGTGGGGAGCGTGTGGCGGAGACAAAACCCTAGGCTGAATAGCGTGGGCTGACTGGGCCTAATTGTACTCAAGGGGATGTGACTGGGCTATAGCGTCGAAATCAATAAGGGTTTGTTTGAATGTAAATATTAGACGGTTGGTATTGAATTGTGTATCAATGTCAAATTAGTCTAGTATTGGAAATGGACTACGATACCAAATCAGATGTTTGGATGTAGATGAAATTGCTATTTGGAATCAGGGACATGGCAAATACTAAATGAATGTTTGGATGTACATCTCGTCGAATTGAATTGACTCATCTTCTTCCCCACCCATAATGCTCCTTCCTACACACAACTCCCATGCCTCGGGCTCCGGCTCGGACACGGCCCCGCGCGCCCCAGTGGTGTGGAGGAGACTGGGCTCCTGGGATGGCGACAGAGAGGAAGAAGGGGTCCGGAGCCCGGAGCTGGGGAAGAAGGCGAGATCCCACACTTGCCGGACCTAGGGAAGAAGGAGAGATCCCACACCTGCCGGACATGGGGAGGAAGGAGGGAGGCATCAGGCGGTGACCTTGGCTGCCGGAGCTAGGGAAGAAGGCGAGATCCACAAGTGCCGGACCTAGGAAAGGAGAGGGAGGCGTCGGGGTGGGGAGAGGGCGGTGATCGGCACGGGAGTCGGGGCGGGGAGAGAGGCGTCCGACGAGTCGTCGCGTCGGGTCGGGGGAGAGAGGGCGGCGTCGCGTCGAGTCGAGGAAAAGAGGGCGAACAATTCTAGCCAATACAGAGCCTTACCCCTTTGTATTGGGAGAGGTCACTCGTGATTCTAGTCCAATACCAAGGTATTGGGGTTGCAATTCTAAATCTCAATTGCATGGACATCCAAACAGAAGAATTCAGGAAACACAGCTCTAATTCCAATTCCCAGGCTCCAATGTCTACGTTCAAACAGGATATAAGAGTTTGCTTTTACCCTTTTATATTATTTTTATTTTGTTAACGAACAATTTTGATTTTTTTGAGACCGTGTTCAGTATATTCTTCATTTTAAATTTGCACAAGGTTGTATCTTGTACGATGCTCTCTCCTCTTGAATAATAGACGGGTATATGATGTGTCCATGAGTTGATGCAGCAGCAGTAATCAAATTTTCTTGTTTTATATACAGTCTCCTTTTATGTCCGTGTCAGATTTTTTGAACTGTCCTCCCTTATCAACTTTTCAATGCTAGAGTAGACTTGTGATCTTATAAGTGAAATTTCAGACAAAATTGAACTATGCATCTAAACATTGGAGAGTTTGAAAACATTCCACCGGGTCAAACCTCAGTTAGCTATTTCAGCACCGGATGTCTCATTAATAGGTGAGACTAAGACCCACAGGTCGTGGTAAAAGAGTAAAGTAGAGTTTGACTCGTGTAATGTTTGCAATTTTTTTCTTAAGCGAGACACGAGTGGATTTTAATAACGACAGAAAATTAAATGGAAAAGAAAATTAAATTATAACTTCACTAATAGCTACTCTCACCAAAGCTTGAAAATACCAAATTTTGAATGAAAGCAATTCTAAACCGCAAATCAATATAATTAGGTATGTTTGGATCCACTAGTACAAATGGCTAACAAAATAAACCTGCTAACCACTAGCAGGGTCTGCTAACAGTTATTTTGCTCTTACAATACATTTGCATCTACAATCCAATTAGTAGCAGGCGAACTCAAACAGTCCCATACACCATGCTTACCTAGCTAATAGTTAGCAGCTATTTGATAGGTAACAATTGCACTAATGATCCAAACAAGATCTTAACCAATACTTCCACCTAACCCTGTGTGTAACCGTATCCTATTAATCCTTTCTCCAAAATCAATATACAAAATAATACTCTTCATCCAAATTGTAAATTATTTTAGGTTTTTCCTTAACCAAACTTCCCTAGCTTTGACAAAATTTATCAAACAAGATTTATTAGACACAGCAAAAAAATATTTTGATAATGCATTTATTTGATATTGTAGATGTTAATATATTTTTTCTATAAAATTTGGTCAAGGCTAAAAAGTTTGATTTAGAACAAAACCAAAACATTTTATAATTTAAAACAAAGGGATAGCTGCAAAAGAAAACCAGTTGCCCAAATGTCCGGTGAGCTCAATCCTAACAAAGTGTCCCCGAAACTTCAGAACAAAAACCAAGCTCAAATCAACCAAAGGAAATTATGGTCGTCAACAAAACAGAATCAGATCCCCAAGATAAAAAAAGCAGCATAATGATTTTTTAGACCAAAAAAAGAAGCATAATGAGTTGAGAGAATCCAACTGACGGGCACTCTTGGCTTTCACTTGAACGGCAGGTTACAACGGCTACCACCAACCAACCAATTCCCTAAAACAAAACTGTGGTGGTGTCTCTTACATCACGTGCAACAATGCTGCATCCCAATGCTCTACTGAACCTAACTAGATCATCCATGCATCACCACAACTGCAAGAACATATACATGAAACAGGACAGAGCAAGAGATGGGAGGGATGCAGTCGCCAGATGTTCAGCATTGGAGTCGGTCGAATCGACGTCAGGTGGGTTCAATCCTCCAGTGCTCCCAGTTCCTTTTGGCGACGTGGGAGTCCCTGGCATGGATGTTGAACCAGGTGATCCTGTTTGCCCGGCAGTGCTGCAAACAAGAATTACCATGATCAATATGACCCTGTTTCAGAAACGAGGGTATAAGTTCTGTACATAAATAAAGCATACTAAACTGTAAAAGCTACACAAACTATTTATGTGGGGTCATCAGATTAATAAAACTAAAGTACGGACTCAGCCAGCAATCGAATCTTCATCGAAAGGCTTCATTTATTTTTTAAAATTTGTTTTTGTAACATCACTGGTAATGCAGTATATTTTTTAGACCAATAGTGCAGCAGTTACATTCCCAATGTGTTCCCTTATCTAAAAAACATTCCCAATGTGTAACATTCATGCTACCAAACTAGCTGTTCGAGCAATGTGGTCTCAACTGAAACTAAATTTATAGCCATGAAAACATGACACATCTCTGTAGTATCTTATTTTCTTATCCTCTTCCGTATAAAAAGATCTCTTAGTGCCATCCAGCAAACCATTTTTTTAGCATGGTGGAGTTTACATGAAGCAAGAGATGTAGGAAATCAGCTCTGGTTGAACACAGATCCTGTGAACTCATGGTGTTTAGTGTACCCTAACAAATTCTCCCTATGTAAGACACTCACGTTCTGTACGCATCATATCCAAAGTCATAAAACTCACAATATTTGGGAGTTCCATAAGGAGCAATAGAGTTTACAGTTCATGACCATTTCTTCCATCAAGATGCACGTTGTATTCATTACTAGAAGTAGTGCTATGCTTACTAAAAACCTATTTCATAAAGTTGAGCAAACATTTCCAGCTATAATGCAGCTTGAAGAGTTGGTGCAAAATATGAAAGGCTCAGCAGAGCTAACTTTCACAAATGAGTGATGGTGGCATGCTGCTACTTATCTTTTTTGTAATGTATCTGATAAATGTCTATATATCACTCATTCTGTTGGAGGCTAGTAAAATTTTACCTTGGAGATGAAGGGTAGGTGCATTACAAAATAAATGCCACCAAAATAAATTACGAAATGAATTGATGAAGCTATATATAATTAGAAATGAGTGATGGTGGCATGCTGCTACAAATGAGTGATGGAGACAGGTATATTGAATTTCGACAACAAAATAAATTACGAAATGAATTGATGAAGCTATATATAATTAGAAGTTCCACACTGCCTGAGTCATTTCTGCACTACTTCAAATGGAGGCTAGTAAAATTTTACCTTGGAGATGAAGGGTAGGTGCATGATCCAAAACCTGAAATGCAAAATACATATTTTTGATGAATAAGTAGATTCCACACATACTTGTAAGATTTTTGAGAAGATAAATGCATGTTTCACTGAAAAAAAGGTAGAGGAGGGGACCGGAGGGGGCAAAGACGGTTTGAACCATGCAACACAAATACCACACATTTAAGAAACTTAAATCTAATACTACAAAAGAGAATATGAAAATTAACAGAGCCAAAACTGACATGTAAGTATGTAATCACATTAGAATAAAGGCAATACACACCTATGAGACGTGTGCAAGTGCAAACTCGTTTTTTTATGTAGAATCATTCTAACTTAGTTCATCTGAAGGCCATATTCCCATTTGAATGTTTGGTATATTTGTATAGTTCAGCGGAACATATCATCGCTACGCCTTTTCAGTGAAAGTTCTCTTCAAGAAGCACATTAATCACAATGACGACTAAATATAAATATACATTCATGTAGTTTATATATATAATATATATAATCAGAGTATGTATTAGAAATTGTTGCACTTTAAGTCCTCTGCAACTTCTCTTACTCAGGAGTCCGGACAAACATACATACCACAATAAGAGACAAAGGCTCATGAACCCACATGATATTATCTACAATTTAATCCTTGAACAATTGGAACATAACTGTGAGAGCCAAACTGAGAATTAACATAATTTATTTATCATGAATTACACTTTCCTCATGTTGCGTGTGTACAGCAAGTCAGCAACCACATTTGCATCAAGTTGTGCTAGATGTATTTATCATGAATCACAAGATGTATTGTATCAACCCAAATATATGTCACAGTAAAATACGCAACAAAAAATGCAATCCCTGTTTAGCATCAAGTTGTACTTTTTTTTGGGTTTAGAGCAATGTTTTACAAGCTACAGCAATCGCGCACCATGGACTATAGGACAAAGAAGAAAAACATGCCCATAGGTTATCGGCAATGTTGATGCCGTCATTTTCTCCCGATTACTGAAGCAGTAAAATTTTCAATTTTTCATTACCACCACCTAATGACTTTTCTCTTATGATATCAGTATGTACTAGTATTATTCTCATATGAAGCTAAACAATGGCAAAAGTAACGAAGAAAAATTAACCAGATGATGAAGAAAATTAAATAAATAAATGATGCGAGAAACAAACGGATATATAACCCAAAGGTCCCGAAAAAGAAAAGCGACCAGTTTAGCAGAGTATGGTTGGCAAAGCAAAAGAGACAGAGGACGTACTCCAAGACCGAACAGAAAAGCAAAAGCAAAAGGGATGCCGGAGACGGCTTGATGCGCAGATACAGACGGCACAGTGAAGAACATGGAACAAGCTAGGCGGAAAGTTGGTTAAGCGTACTGACTGGGGTCGGTGAGCGTGACGGTGGCGGTGCCGGCGAAGTCGCATGCCCCCGGCGCGGCGCGGGAGCGCTGGAAGATGGAGTTGAAGGCGTAGGAGGCGTGCGCGGCGAGGGTGTTGGGCAGGTAGCAGAGGCCGCTGGACTGGATGGGCGCGCAGTCCGCACCGCCCGCGGGGCCGCACGCGTAGTCCAGCGCAGACTGCAGCGCCTTGTCCGACGCCCCGCTCCGCGCGATGCACCACGCCGCGCCCGCCGGCCGCGCCACCAGGAGCACCAGCGCCGCCAACGTCACGGCAACGTCGAGCCACAGCGCCGCGGGGAGGCGCCCGCGCCGCTGCATGTGGTGGGGTCGACGGAGCAAGGAACGGCTGTCGAGGAGAAAGAGCGAGAGAGAGGGGAAAGGTGGTGGGAAGGGAATGCGGAGCGAGAGGGCGATGTCGCGATGGTGGGTGTGGGGATATGTGAAAGAGGGAGACGAGGAGACGGTCGGGGGCGGGAGGGGAGGAGGATCTCCTTCTCGCGCTCCTTCCTGCCACAAAGCTGCTTTCTTTTCTCCTTTCTTTGCTTGGACGGGTGGTTGTTTGTATTGGGCTGGGCTTATTAGCTATTTGTTGGGCATGGCCATTCTAGTATGTGGATGCAGATTCCATTTTTGCATCCTTTCCTTGAGTGCCTAGGTTTGTTTCAGCCCAAAACACAAAGAAAAGTCCCTGTCCGGGAAAACGTAATAAGCAAGACTCAAAAGCTACCTTTACCATTCCGGTAGAAGTAGCGTCCGTCTGCCAGGCCAGCAATTCATGCTCCTTCGTTTTTAAAAAAACTCCATTTATTTCTATCCACTCGTTCCTCTTCCTATTGCTCTTATCCGCTCGCATGTCGCCTCCGAGCACACGGTCGCTAGCCCTATGAGGCGATCGTCGTCCGTTAGCCTTGCCCGAGCACGCGCTGCGCGTCATCCTCAAGTCACGGCGCTCGCTACCGCAAGGCCGCCATGTGTAATGCTGCTGCCCTCCACAAAGTCGCATGGCTGGCAAGGCCCTCGCCATTCGGTACCGGTGCCTTCCTTCCACGACGTGCAGCCACTACTGCTGGCTCGCCTGCCTACAAGCTCTACCGGGCCGCTATCTCTGGTGAACAACACGCACCGACGAGCCTCCATTCTGCCGTGCAAGAAGGAGATGTTACATTGAAAGCGCATATTGCAAGAGTATGTTTGAATTGTTTTAAGTATGTTGAAAGTGTTTCATATGGATGTTGCAAAAAATAGATCGTGATGTTACACATGTTGCAATGGTTGTACATGTATGTTGCAAGCGTCCGGTCCAAATGTTTCATCTGCTTTTTCAGACGTACATTGCAAGTGTGCTTACCACCAAGTGTATGTTCGAAATGTTTCCGCTGTTTTAGTCTTATGTTGCAATAAGTGTCTTCATGTTGCAAGTTGCAAGTGTTTTATCTAGATGTTGCATATGTTTCACACATATGTTGCAAGTGTATGTTCTAAATGTTTTATCTGCTTCAGACGTATGTTGCATTCAAGTGTTTCATGTTGCAAGTGTTTCGTGTTTCAGATGTATGTTCAGAGAGTCATCGGGGCATGGCCCAGGCGCCGGGTGAAGGGGCGCGGCGAGCCGGGGGCCGGCGGATGGGGCGCGTGACGCGCTTGGGGTCCTGCGAATGGGGCATGATTGTCCTCATCCTGGCTCTCGAGTCCCGCCCGCGCGGAACGAGAGGAGGGGGTCAGGGGGAAGGAACAGCGGGCGCGGGGTGGGGCGAGAAGACGGGGGTGGTATGCGTGCGTAGCGGGACGAGGCAGATGGAAAAAGACTGCAGCGATACGGTGGGAGTGCGGCACATTTCTGCTGGGCCATTCGGTACCGTCCGATGGAATCCTATTCTCATCGGACGTCCGGGCGCCGGCAATTCCCTTACCATTCTTTCCAAAACGTAGCTTGGTGAAGGTGGTTTTGATCTGAAGCATGGCATTTCGAAGTTATCAACCCATGCGGATCCAATCTTCTTCTACGGAGAGGCAAGAGGGGCACAACCGTATACCGAGCGTTTGTTACATACATAGTGAGCTGTCGAGGGTGTTAGTGTTAGGGGTAGGTGTTGAATGTAATACCTTGGCCAATTATGAACCTATAGTAGTTGACCTCTGTGTCCCATATGTGGTTGTAGTTAGTGCTTGGAAGCTTAGGAGGGTAAGAGTCAGCTTTTAATCCTTGTCACTATCTTTTACATGAAACGAGGACAAAAACGTAAGAGAGATGTTATGTGTATGTGGGCTTTTCCAAGTACCATAAGTAGATTTTGGATGCACGATGTTACAGTTGACGAGAGAAAATAAGAAGGTAGAAAAAGAAAGCCAGTTGCACCGACCCAATGGAGTGTCCTGGTGGTCAATCCTAGGTAGCATCACTACATTGTCGTAGTTTTACTAGTGCTTTCATGCACTTCTTCTGTATTTTAGACAATACTTTTATATCACCAACTAGTACAAGTAAAATATTATTTTTATGATTTGTTAATTATTTTGTGTCATAATATATCAATTTTTTCTCCTTGTCTAACTATAGAAATAATTATAAATTGTAAATTATTAATTGTCTTGTGCCAACACAAATCAGATTTTGTTAGGTTTATGGTTGTCTAACAAGTTTTTATTTTGAGTTAAATGCATGGGTGATCCATCAACTTGCGCTCTAGTTCCACTTAGGCCCATCAACTCTGAAAGTGGGTTTTTGGGTCCATAATCTTTGTTAGTGGTGTATTCCTAGCCCATACCTCTTTGTTTCAATTTTTTAACCGACGTGGCACCTCGGGGATGCCGCACACACGCATGCATGTGCATGCATGATGCATCGCGTCGGGGCGGCAGCTGCTGCAGACGCCCACCACGCACGTGGCGCCGCCGCTTCTCGCAAGACGCCGCCAGAAAGTATTGCTCTGGCCGTCGACACCAAAGCAACGACGCCGCGTGGATCCCTCGCTACCGTTGCGCTGGCTGCCCCACGCCGTCGTCGCCGCGCCGCCCTTCGACCCAGCCGCGTCCACCTCGCATCGACCCGCGCCTGCGCTCGCCGCGGCTGCGCGCATGGCGCGCCAACGCTGCGGTAATGGGCAGGCTCTGCGGCTTCAACCTCACCTACGCCCCTCCTCGCCGCAAGCGGGCTGTCGCGAGACTCCCTCGCCGTCCGCGTCTCCACGCTACCGCCCAAGACCTACGTCTGGTCGCCAACCGCGCGCGCTTATCACCGATCGCGCTGCTCCATCGTAGCTCACGGCCAACGACATCTCCATCGAGGACCCCAACGGCACCACCATTTGGTCCACGCCGCCGCTCGAGACTCCCATGGCTGCTCTCCGGCTCGACGACCACGGCAACCTCGCGCCGCCGACGCGAGGAATGCTGTTGTGGCGATCTTCGACCGCCCCCACCGACTCGATCGTGTCGTCAGAAGCGGTTTCAGCGGGCGTTCTGGCGCCCACCCGCTCGACTCCGACTTCTCCGAGGGGACTACCGGCTCAACGTGACGGCGGCCGATGTGCTGCTCACGTGGATGGGCTCCATCAAGGACGCCACTTCTTCATTTTCATGGATAGCGCCTTGTAAACGCGGTGACTTCGTTCGCCTCGGACGCGGCGCCGCCGCCTCGCTCTTGACCGCTAGTTGCTTGGCCATCGCGCCGCATATGGCCATGTCGTCGTCAAAGCGGTGGACGTCCCGCCCGCACGGAGTCGCCAAATCAGCCACAACAACATCCCCATCGCCGTCTCGATCGCCGCGACGCTCGACCATCCTCCTCCACCGGCAACAAGAGTGGCAAGAGCAAGGCCCCGCCTACACCGCCGTCTCCCTTGTCCTCTGCACCACCACCACCGCCGTCCACGTCCGTGGCCATGCTCGTGGACCACCTCGTTAGAGATGATGCGCCACGAGCTCTCTCCCGACAGCGTAGTTGCACCGAGCTCCATGCGCTTCCTCCCCGCCCACGAGGCGGGCGGACGCTGACGCCACGCCGCCACGCGCGCCGCCGACCACCCGCGCGCGCGAAAGCAGTCGTCGTCCTCGCGGGCGCCCACCATTGATGTTGTCGTTCCTCCTTGTCTTCTTCGTAAATGCGTACCGCGGATAATAGGGGCGCCGCAGCTCGGAACAACTTCGCCATCCGGACGGCTACCGAGTCACTAGGCGTGGAGCGGCTCGTCTGCGTCGACGTGTCGCCACGCCGACTTCGACTCGGCCATCCGGAATTTCTCGCCACCGCTTGTCGCTTCGGCGGGGCGCTGGCGTAGTCGGCCTAGGTGCCCTTGGGGAGCGATTTCTTTGGCCGCGTCGATGCCAACGAGGCCGTCGCCGTCCTCGCGTTACGCACGATGGCCGAAAAGCGCGGCGTGCGTCGGCGGCGGCGACGGTGGTGCCCTCACGACGGAGAGCTCCAACTTGGCGGCGCGCGTGAGCGCCGGGTCGGTGGTGAGCAGCACGGCCGAGCCACCGTGAGCGGAAGAGGCGGGTTCTGCCGACGCCGCGCCGTAGCGATTGGGCATGATGCACACTCGCGGAGACGACTTAGCGCCAGCGTCGAGCGGGCGCCATGAGGACGGGACCGGACCGCGCGTGCATGGTGCTCGGGCGAGGTCCACGGCGGCGACGCAGCACGCGCGACGAAACGAAGCGATGATGCCGCCACCATGGGTGCACAGTAGTATGGCCGCGCCCCATAGGCGCAGGCGAAGCCGCCACCATGGCGGCGCGAGGAGAGTCTGCCGCCGCCGCCGCCATGGCGGGCGCGGCCGCCGCATGCCACACAAGCGTCGCTCCACCTCGCGGGAATGCGTCATGGGGAGGGAGTTCCGGCGCGGCGGTGTTCCACTCGGATGCATGCACATGCATGCGTAAAAGGTGCCCGAGGTGCGAGGTGCCCGCCGCTAAAAATCGAAACAAAGGGGTATGGGCTAAAAATGCGCCACTAACAAAGATTATGGACCCAAAAATCTACTTTCAGAGTTGATAGACCTAAGTGAAACTAGAGTGCAAGTTGATGGACCACCCATGCATTTAACTCTTTTATTTGTAATTCTCGAAACCGTAAATTACAGATTGTGCCTAAATATTATAACAAACTAAAATTAAAATTTTAATATAAAATATAGCAATAACCGTCGCCTAAAAGAAAAGTAAAATTCATGCACCTGAATTTTAGCAAGTCCCGTTTTTCGCGTCATTTATTTCGTAGCTTTATTACAACATGAACATATAGCAACCCCATTTATGAGAGGCAAATTACTTTTCTTAATGAATTTTAGCGGGTCCCATTCTTGCGTCGTTTATTTCAT